AGAGATGCCTGAGGAGAATATTGCTGGCAGGGATGTTGTGAGGGTGGTTGGTAAATGAGAGGATAGATCTAGTGTGGTGACGTTTTGTCTTTCTGTCATAGTCTTCTGTCACATGTGCTGTGAGCCATTTCTGATTCATTTATTATGTTGGTGTCTATTTTTCAAACATTCTGTCTGAGCAGCAACAAGACACTGGAGGTCAACAGTGAGCACACATTCAAGAACTCAAATAATGCACAGCATAGTTCTGATTATTTGTATGAAGTGGGAGGAAATATAGGTAAGTACACCTAGGTCTATAATATTGAAAGCACTCTTTACCCATTGTAAATTTGAACAAAGAAGACATAAACAGTTGATTGTCTGGCATATTTGACTGTTAAACTTAGGTCTCTGATATTTAAAGCTCTGTTTCCCCATTGTAAATTTGAACAAAGAAAACACAGAATAGATTTTATCTGGCATAATTTGCTGTTTCTCACCAGAACTATGTGAAAAGAAAGACATGATAGTAAGGCTGCACCTGCCCTGATAAAACAGACAGTTGCTGTTGAGAGTGGTTGAATTTTTACTTCTGTTGTTTCCTTTTTTTAAAATTGTGACTGAACTATTCACCAGACAAAATATAACGAAATATGCCAGACAATAAATTGTGCTATCTATTGTTTGTGTCTTCTCTAATAATTTTTCAGATTAATATTTTCAATACGCAACTATTTCTCTTGTTACATACTGTGTCCTTCATTATTTCTGTACTGGTTCTGAGGCCAATTTTGAAGTATGTAAAAACAAATGTACTCACTAACCCAAAAATAATCTTGTAGTAATACACACAAAATGAGGAGTTAGCTGAAATTGGATGGGTTGGGTCAAAATGTACCATCTATCTGTAAACTAAAATATAATGTCGTAACTGCCACTTTAAGAGCAAACACAGAAAAAGAAAAGGAGGTATCCTCTGTCATTTTCTAAAGCTGAAGGGTCAATGCTCTTCCGTAAAATTTATGTATATGTATGTATTTCTCTGGTTAAATATTGTGTGCTTCATATTTTCTTTACTAAATGATTGTAAACTTTATTTTTTGAATTTGTTTTTTGTTAAACGTGGTATCTTCCACTTTCCCCTTCCAGGACCCCGATTTAACAGGCACGTTGTGATCGGTGACTAATAAGGGGTTTTCTGTTTTGGGCAGAATGTGCAAATACTGTAACCTGTCTATAAACTATAGCACAATGCAAAAACACTTTTAAGGGCATACGTGAAAGAAAAAGAAATAGTATCTTTTACTTTATTTCACAATTTCTCCTGCCTGCCAGTCCAGCGATCATGGGTTTGAATCTTTATCAAGTCTGATTTTTCACCTGGGCTTCGAGGTAAACTAGTCACTAGGTGTCCCTTGGTAAAGGTCAGCTGTGTTATGACTATATCATTTTCTTCTACCTGGTATAATTCAAGCCATATGGCGTTGGAAATCATATCTATCCATCGCCTTCTGTCTTGAGACTTTAAACATTTCTGACACAGATGCTGTTCTATACCATGGTGTCAGGTTTTCCGGTCAAAATGGACGCTAGGCAGAGGCACTGTTTGGAGCAGAGGCAAATTTTTTGCTTCTGACGGGCGGTGGCCGATGCATTTTTGCTCCATTTATAGACTGGATATAGTTTTGTTGCCCAGCTTCTGAGTTCAATGCATGGCGTGACACTGTGAGCTGCAGATTTCATTTGGAATGTCTTTTCGACTGTGACCAACGTAGTGGTGTGATTGTAGATTCAGAAAATATTGCGATGCCGGTCATTGCAATGTTGTTGGTACCCGTATGTGATTAAAATTGATTGCGTGGGCAACTGCTGACCTGTTGCTGACTTCTGCTACCATCAATGATAAACTGCATTTCTAATATCGGACTGTTTGTGCTAGCACTTTGGATGGCTGCCGTTTGCTTTAATGTGTGTGTTTGCTAGATATGCTGAGACAGCAGTCTGTCAATCTTTCCATAAGGGACTGTGATAAACATTTCGTGTGTTTTTCGTTGACACAGGAGCAGAGCAAAGATGGGGTGACCCGCTTGCTATGAAGCTGAAACTAAGACTACCAGACTTTCCAGCGTCATCTCTTGCGCTCTTCTCTGATTGTTCTCGCCTCTGTCTCACCGTCATGATGTACTCCAGTTTTCTCCTTGTCATGTCATGATGTACTCCAGTTTTCTCCTTGTCATGTCATGATGTACTCCAGTTTTCTCCTTGTCATGTCATGATGTACTCCAGTTTTCTCCTTGTCATGTCATGACAAAGAATGTAGATTGTCTGCTTCTGATGCGGATAATCAGTTTTCAACATGAGTTATGTTATTCAAGACACCTTCATTACTCTTTTTATTTATCCGTCATGTTCTGATCATTACTTAGTGGTTCCTGTTCTACCTTGAGGTGTAGAGCAGCGGTTCTCAAACTGGGTGCCCCAGCCCCCAGGGGTGTTCATGAGCATATACAATTGTTCAAAATCTGTTTGACAGCAACAAGACATCAGTTTAAAACAGAAATACCGTGAAAGAAGCCAAGAAGAGTTCTGGATGCAAGTGTACTCAGAAGACAGTGCTATTGGCAAGGCTTCTATACATTCTCAGCCTATGCTTAAATTAAAAAACAGAACATGAGCAAACTTTCTGGGTTAAGTGATCTGAGGGTAAAATTAACTAAATGTCCATTATGCATGAAGGAAATAAAGAAAAATTCATCCAAACAGTTTCTTTCCTGCCATTAAAGACAACTGAACATTAAATGTGCCATTCCCCCCCCCCCCCCCTAATTATTTAAACCGCTGCAAGGGTAGGTGTGCCGCAAACAACTTTTTGCCCTACAAGGGTGCTTCAGCCAAAAACTATTTTTGAGAACCGCTGATGTAGAGGTTTGCCAGAGAGACCAGATTTCTGTCATCAGTTTTCTTTTTAGCTTCATTCCAATCAATTCCTCTATCAGTCAGGGACTGTCAGATGTTGTCTTCCCAGCAAACCCTGTGTCGCCCCAGTAGTCTGGTTCCCTGGTTCTTTATCTCCTATGCCTGCCATAGTAAACGATTCCTATTCAGCACACATGTCCAAACCATTGTAACTGTGACTGATCCACTCCAGCTTGTAGGACCTAGGTTTAAAGATGATTGTCTGATTTCATCATTCCTCTATAAAACCACATCTCTGTTGCTTCCACATTAAACAGCGAGATTACCTGGCATAAATTAGGGTTGGCTCTGTATAGGTTTTTTGAAGTTTTTGAACAACGGATCAACATCATGGCACACGGGTAGTAACCCTTAAGTGCTCCGTTCTTCTTCTAACTCGTCAGAGTCCGAATAAGCCCAGCACAGTGCACAGGCTCTTTAGCACCGGGGAGGATCCTGATATACTTTGGATAGATTTTTAACTCCAAATTTTGCCCGGGCAGTGCCGTTAGGCTACTCTTTTTGATTTCCAACTGCCAACGGATTTTTTACATGCACAACATTGCACACAGGCATCTGATCTCACTACACAGAGACCGGGGGGAATTACCAGAAGACCAAGTCCACGTGAAAAAATCCCAGCCCTTATAGGGGATTGAACCCAGAACCTCTAGCACTCGAGGTTAACACTATGCCTCGAGACCATGCAGCCCCCGGCTCTATTTGGCTTTTAATAACCCTGAATCACATAATGAGTCATCGTCATCATGTAGCAGGTCCTTTGCAGAACGTCGCTCTCATCACAGTCTGCCTGAAAGAAATTCAGTCTCTCGCCAGTTTTCCCGCCTTAATGAGTACCAATTGTCTATAGAAATTTTTGGCTAGCATTATTTATTGAACTTTTCTTTTAATGCTGGCCACCTTTGCTTTCTGTGTTTAAACATTGTATACTTCATTGTTTCTCTAGTCAAGATTGTTACCAATGTTTTTTATTTGATAGACTGTTATTTATAATTAAAGATTGTTTTGTGTCTACTATTAAAGAGCGTATTTATAATTTATCAAACTAGAGAGCTTACAGTCTTGCAGTTTTATTGAACCAAAAAAAAAAAGTTTTTTTTTATAGGTTGTTTTGTTTTATAATTAAATGTAACTAAAATGTGCTCAAATTCAAAACAGATCTTTGAATGTTCATGCATGTGCTCAAATGTGTACTTCAACAAATTATAAAAATTTTCTTGTTAAAAAATTCCTGTATACAACACTCTCATACAAATCTTTATGTTACATTCCTGTTAAAGTTTTTTCCTTATATTCTTTCTCAGGAGAAAGATGCTTAGATCCATGTGCCAAAGTCATGGAAGTTCATCTGATCAATCCGCGTGCTGACTGGGTAATCAAGACTAGAGTAGGGAGACCAGAAGCCATATTTCCTGTCAGCTATTAATTGTATCCCTTTGACTGAATACACTGTGTGGCACTATGCCAAAGTTATCTAAGCGGTAATCTCTGTTATGAAAACTGAGTGGAAAATGAACATTGTGTGGTTACATGAAAAACTAATACAGTGGTACCAAGGAAATCAGACGTTTCAAAATTTGAAAAAAGTCTGAAATTTTCAAGTAAACTGTGCACCAGAACTTAAAGGCCACCTTGAAAACCAAATATCCGGCAAATGCCAGCCATGTGCCACCACATAGCGCCGCCTATGCTTCAGTTTATTTTAGAAAGCTTTGCCGAACACATGGCATCTCATCTTGTCACCTCATACAGTTTTCTCACCTAATTGTATGAATTTGTGATCATTATTTTTATTTTTTATACTATATATATATATATATATATATATATATATATATATATATATATATATATATCTAAATATATATATATATATATTATATATATATATATATATAAATATATATATATATATATATATATATATATATATATATATATATATATATATATATATATATATATATATATATATATATATATATATATATACTCTACTTAGTGAATTAGTTATGGTTGGTAAAAAGTTTAATGTTGAAAACAAAGTAAGTGAAAAGCTGTTAGTGCAACAATAGCCATGGGGGGGGGGGGATGTTATTGCTAAGCACAAAAGTGTTATCCGTGCATGTGAACTTTAGAAAAACCAGTTTTAACATTTCAGTTTTTTGGGCCCTGAAATAGATTACTTAACTTTCCGTTATTATCAGTGGAAAAAAATTGCCTTGGGACTCAAACGATCTAAAAGTTAATAACCAGAATGGATTATATTCTAATTGTACCTAATTTTTTATCCCTCTGGCCTAAAAAATAAACAGTCACTGAAACTGCATTTAGTTGGCTTTGGTGTTGTACTAATGAATTATCAGAGTTTATATTGTTTTCAAAATGTGCTGGTCACAATGTAATTTTATTTGTTTATAAAATGTATTTATCTCTCTGAAAAGAAGTGATTAATTTGTTTTGTGGTTAATGTCACCTGGAGTGACAGATGTTGTAATGAGTTTCTATTTCTAGATATGTGATGATTCGTAGATTAGTTTGAGATGTGTTGTAATTAAAAAGGGAAGCTCAGACAAGCAGACAGACTGAGAACTGTTCCTCTGATCCAGCAGCTTCTGCAGCTTGCTTTGTCCCAGACATGTTGGTGTTACCTTTGCTTTGGAGTGAACAAGGCAGACTGATAGAGAAAATGCTGCACATGGTCTCTACAGTACTCCCCAGGCGAGGCAACAATGGTTCTGAAATCTCCTGCTGTACTGGTGGAAGACTTCTCAACATGAGCAGTTCTAGCTAGTCACACTCACCTTCACCATGGGCTGGGATGATGAATCAACATCATTGCACCTGAGCCAAGCCTACAAGTACAAATCTTAGTCTCATTCAGAAAAGTGTGAATGTGTTTTGTCCCTGTTGCCAGCTACACATCAGAACTGTTTTCCTCTAGTCATTTTAATCCTACAATTGAATTCCCAGTCTAAACAAAAACTAATTGGAAAAATCCTTTGGTAAAACATTATGAAAAGAGTATTACAGCTGAAAATTCATTTTGGGCACATTAATAATCGCCTGTTTTTTCAAGATCTGCCACAGTGATCTGGTCCTCAGACTAAATGATGACAAATACGTTAGCATTACGGGAGTCGCCGTGGCGTTGGAGGCTAAACGCCCGCCTGCGGATCGGAAGGTTATGAGTTTGTGTCCTGACGGAGCGGGATTTTTTTTTCTTCAAAAATGACCTCGACTCCCAGGTCGACCCAGCCTTGAGTGTGTAACACGTGCAGTCCTGGAAAGTAAAGGTGGCTGGCATGATACTAACCACATCACCCACTAAGTGCTGATTGGTCTATAAAATTATAGGTCTAGCCCTATACTCCCAATATGCCTAAAGACTTGGAAAAGGGACCTTTACTTTACTTTTTATATTAACATTTAAGTGATGTGTATTTTGGCTATGTTATGCTGGGCATTTTTCTCTAGTTTGGACTTACAGTACGTGGTTCCATCATCCAGCTGCTAAACTGGGTGCTTGGTGCGACACTGTAAGCTGTACATGTTATATGGCATCTGAAAATTGTGTGGTCTGGTTGTTGATTTAAATGCAGATGAATAAAAGTAATCCAGTTGTTTATGTTATGGCATGGTTGTAAGTTTCACTGATGATAGATGCAACAAGTTTCAGTGAATACGTGAGATACATGTTAGTTTTTATATACTACTAGCTGTACCTGGCCATGCTTTACCACGACTCACTCAGTATGGTTAAATGGAAAAGAAGGAAAAGAGAAATCACAGGTTTTTTTTTTTTGTTCCATTGTCTGCGCAGATATAGAGATTGTCTGATCTGCCAACTCTAGAACACCCAACATATAACTGTCCATGTGAGAAGCAATCCATGTTTATATCTAAACCTCACAGTTCTAAAGATTGGCCATGAGCTTTATTGATGGCGATTGCAAAGGCCAGTCGAATTGGGAATTTCAGTGTCTTAAATTGAAATGGCATATCAGTTGTAGTAACCATTACTACAACTAACGAAAGATCGTAACAACAGAGATGAGATGTCTTAGGTGAGTTGTCTGTGTGACAAGAAGAGATAGAATCAAGAATACAGAAATTAGAAGAAGACTAGGACTGAAACCAGTCATACAGTTCATTGAACAACAACACATGAGATGGTTTGGCCACCTGACGAGAATTCCCTGGTACCACAGAGAGCCAAGCTGAAGAAATATAAAGAACAAAGGGAAAGACCACGTAAGAGATGAAGATCAAGAGTAACCTAACAGAACTAAACACCAACTTGTACAATGCATTAGAAAAAAGCGCACAAACGATCCTTACATCTCCCCCCACACCTCGTTGAGGTAAATGGTGGAAGAGAAGAAAAAGAAGAAGAAGAAATCCGTTGGAATCAAAGGAATGAGGGAATGAGGAGATCTTCACCTTTGAAAGGTCCTGTCCAGATTATTGCTCATTTAATTTTTTTTTTTTTTACTGCAAGCCACGTGCCGTTGCAAAGCTTCAGCTGGTTGATATTTTGCAACATGATAATTGGCACGCCAATTTTCAACTACAGTATGTACCATGACATCCCTGGCAGATCAAAATTTATGCTTTATCTGCTACCACAACAATTTTGACAGACTTGTTTGTGACTTCCTCACTTTGAATGTTAGACTGAATAATAGTGATAAGTTAGCCGATGTCTTTGCTCTTGGTCGCAAGAGTAGCTCGTTCACTCAGCCCGTCATATTCTTATAATTGGTTTGAACATTGGGAAATACTTTTTTTTTAACCATTTCTGTTCTTTTTTGTTTTGTTTTTGAACACTACTAAATTGCAGAAGTTATGAGGTGGTGTGTATGCTGCTTATACATCTAACAGATGGCGCTGTTCTTCTATATAATATAGTGTGTGTTGCTTTTAAGTTTAACAGATGGCACTGTTTTTAAAAAAAAGCAGGTTTTTACCTGTGACATCTATATAATGGGTAAATGAAAATGTGCATATTCAATGCAGTGTTGTGTGAAAATTTCAAAGCAGTCGGTACCGAACTTTAGGGAATTTAAGATTTTGAACAAACGAACATTTACATTTTTATTTATATAGATTTACTTGTGAGTGTTTATGCATTAAGTTGTTTGATTGCTCTCATTCATACATATGTGTGTATCGTGGATAGGAGAGGAGTGTGAGAACAAACTTTTTTAAGGGGTCACACATTGGGCACACAACCTTTCCAAACGTTCATCTTCCCCACAGCATGGAGGGAGAGAGAAGACACAGAGAGACAGAGAGTAATGACAGACAGAATAAGAAACAGGCTTTTATGCAAAGCAAATATTTCAATATAAGATAGCATACACACATTCTGTCTCTCTCTCTCATACATACTCATACAATGACACGCACACTCTCTGTCTCTCACATACTCTCACACACACATACACAGTATATGTTTAGATTTTAAGGTGCTTACATGTGCCGTTCTTTTGCATTTCTGTATAAACTTATTGGTTGATTGATGTTCAACACCACCAGGACATCACACTGAGTGATAAACATCCGGTGACACAAAGTGCCACCATTCAAACGAGGATCCCCGTGGAGAGGTCTCAGAAACCCCGTTCAACCCATGGGTTGGGTTATATTAGGGCCCCTGGCAGCAACCAGGCTTCAAAGTAACAAAAAATTCATCCCACATGGGGACGGAGTTGATTAGTAAACTCTCAAGTATAAACTCAACTTTGTATAGTGTTTTTGTTTTTGTATGTACTGATGTGTTGAACCTGTATGTATGCATTGTTTTTATAACTGTGTGTTTTTATCTAATCAATGGGTCAACGGTCTTGAGTCTGAGAATTTAAGGTTGAATGATTAGTGTAGTTGCTATGATCTGTACAGAGTTATAGATTTGTATATTTTGACCCTAAAGGAAAAAGGCATCACCTCACCGAGGCTTTGTTCCTATGTCTCCCATACAAAAGCACCAACAGCTCGACCAACCGTTCCTCCTCAAGAAGTTCTTTAAAGCTGAATAGTCTTTGTCAAAGGAAAGTGCTGACTAACTACACAGGGTTATAGTTAGTTGCGTATCCTGTCCAGGATATTGCATAACCAACCCCATCATTTGTTGACTGCAATTCTTTCACCAGGCACTTTTATGTGCTTTGCCATTGTTTACTGAATCTTCAGCTCTTGACACCTCTGTTAAAATCAATGCAAGGCGGTCTGCAGTCAGATCAACATCAGGTGGAATTAAACGGGGTTCCTTGAAATTATGAAGCACATTCGTGACACATAAACCACAGACATCACCTTGTGGCCACTTGTGTTTTATATTGGACTAATAATGGAAATTGTATAGCAGATCTTGTAGCTCATTTGACGGTTAATTAAATTAAATTTTTTTTTTTAAGTGGGTAAGTAAATTTTACCCCACAAGGACATCACACACAGCGATAAACACCGGGTGACACAAATTGCCATCATGAGGATCACCCATGGAAAGGTCCGTGAAACCTCGTTCAACTGTTAAGCTATAGTGCGGCCCATGGTGGGGCTTCGAAATAACAAAAAATTGCATCCCACAAAAGGATGAAGTAATTTTTTAAAAATTGATAAAACAATACATAAGCAGATGTGTACATTTTAACTGATATCATTAAAATTGTACAACAAAACATTAATGTTTTTATTTTATTTTATATAAAATAGAGGGCTGGATAACATGCGTTACAAAAAGCTAACTGCCGTAAAAATTTAGACTTGCAGACAAAGCAAATTGTGTGGAACATTTATAAATGATCATGTGCTATATCTCGGAATGTTTCTGTCAACAGGAGCATAGATGGCTGGGTTCAGAGAATTAAGGCTTCAGAAGGTATAGAGACTGGCATGGGAATGTTACTTATGCTATAAAGAGATTTTAGTTAGTTAGTTGCTTTTCCTTTACAGAACTGAAAAACCAACCCCAGTATTTTTTGGCTGTTGTGGTTTTTCTAGGCAAATTTACGTCTAGTAAGTTTTCCATTGCTTTCTGGACATTCGGCGTCTCTATACCACTGTCGAAACCAACGCAAGGCCCGCAGCTGGGATCAAACCCGGCACCCCGGCATTATGAAGTGCATTTGCAATGCCTAAGCCACATACGCCGACGTAAAGAGATGAACATGAAAAAAAAAGAAAAGTTTGATGCAGAGAGGTACATGCCCTTATTTTATTTTTGTGTAAGGTCAAAGTAGTGAAGAGGATAATATTGACAGTTGAGATGTCTAAAAGATATAATGAATTATATTGTGAATACATTTCATTTTTTTTTAAACAAAAAGTTAATGGTGAAAAAAAGAATAGGGTCAAAGAGTGAGAGGGTGGGGGGGGGGGGGGGTTATTACTCTTTGAACGCCATTGTAGCTAATTTACTGGATGCGGAGTGTTTGCCAATGCAAATGGTCTGTAATGTTGGCTCCTATTGACTCGGAATAATCTTCATTGTCAAAGTGGGTTCCTTGGCGCAAGCTTGCGTGCTTTTGAGTCGGAGGACCTGTGGAATAATATGTTAAATGCCTGTTAATGTTACTGAATTATGCACATGCATACAGGTAACTAACCTTGCAATTATTATTATTATTATTTATCCCCTTCTCCCTCTATCCTTCTTTTTTCTTCATCCTCTTCATACTCTGCATCTTCTTCTTCTTCTTCTTCTCCTCTTCTTCTTAGCACTGTGTGCCTTTTAGTTCTGCTGCATATATCTCCAAACTTTGCTTTATGGTTGGTGATTCAAAGTGTTTGTAGATCTATTTATATATTATCTATCTATAGTCTTTTTTGGTCTGCCACGTGGTTTACTGCCTTCAGCTTTTTTTTATCTACGTAGCTTTTATCTGTTATATATCATTCACTCTATAATGCGGAAGCGCAGTGGTGGAAGAGCAGTGGTGGATGCGCAGTGGCGGACGCGCAGTGGCGGACGCTCGCCTGCCGGTTATTATGGTTATAGGTTAGAATCTGCATTTTTAAAATATATATAATTGGTTACCATGTCGATCCAACATAAATGGGAACCAGGTCATGTCCTGGGAAGTAAAGACTTGTACAGATGTTGACCACATCGCCCACAAAATTGTCACCCAAATTTTCACTGGGGCCTGCTTTCTCAGTGACTCTATGACTATGCTCAGGAAGATAGAGAAGAGCTGGGTCCGAAGGCAGTGGTTGGTGGCTCTACAGAATTCACGGCTGACAAGGATTAGTTTCATTTTCGTGCCAGGACATGTAGGGCTGCAAGGAAATGAGCAAGCTGATAGGCTTGCAGGTAAGCTACTGTGAAAGCCGGACAACCCATGGACCAGGCTGATATACTGAATGCTCTAAGAGAGTTAGGACGTTTGTGTGAACCAACTGAGAACTGTGAATTTGCAACCATGGTCAGACTGCAAGAACAACATGTTAAACGGGGTGTCGACAAACAAGAACACTGTGTGGTTAGCCAAAGAATAATAATAAATCAACACAGAACTGGTGTCGTTGGCCGCTACACGCTGCGGGATTTACTAAGGAGGGGATCCGAGCACTTATGGACTGAGTGGTTCGACGTGCAATGAGGTTAATCTGTGGACTAACTAACTATCCAACCCACAGAATGCCTAATAGTCTATAACAATGAATCTAGCATTACTGCAAGATGCCTACTTAGATAAAATGGACTCTTACTTATTTGCTGTCTATAAGACTCAGCCACTGTAAACTTTTAGACCTCATAAAGCCATAGGTTAACGATGACCCAGTATTTAAGATTTGAGGTTAAAAAAAAAACAGAAGAAAGGGGCGGTGTTCTTTGGGGAAATCTTCTTTCTCTTCTCTTTCGACTTCTTCTTCTTCTTCTCCTCCTCCTCCTTCAACGTTCATCCTGAACAGACACTTAGCACGCTGTGTTGTGATTTACAGCTTTTCTGGGATATCTGTTCGTTTTAGCCCAATACCTCTAGTTTCAGCAAAGTCTTAACCCTTTGGAGACGACGCGGCCGAAATATCGGCCCAACACAAAGTAGCAAAAAGGACGACTGGGCCGATTGGTCGGCCCTATATAATAGAAGCTTTGATAAAGGCTGGCAGGTTTTTCGTAGCAGCTAATCTGACTGCTTCTCTCATTTCTTGCACATATGGGTTGTTAACTGACGGCTTTCAAGGAAGTTTGATGTGTTCTTAAATTTTACATCGATTTTGTGTGTGTGTGTGTGTGATTACCTGTGCCAAAAAAATGGCGAAAAGGACTGTTGCGTCATAGCAACCGAAATATTGCTAGAGGCAGGAAAATTAGTAGAAGTAGAACCATGTGCCAGAAGTGTCTGAAGGGCCTTTAAGGGCCTTACTTCCCAAAATACAGGTGTTAGGACTTATTCAAGCTTCATCCATTAAAACAATTGACCCAAATTGTTCAGGTTAGTTATGTTTGTTCGCAAGTTTTAAAAAAAAAATTGCTTGCATAAATTATGCAAATCAGAGTAGTTAATTTGAATAGATGTTGAAATTTCATTTTGATTCATAAATATTATGTTAGTTAATTCAATTTCCTACACTAATATATATAGTTTTGGAAAGGTTAATCAAATGCTTTATTTTTAAAAAAAATTTTTGTGTACAAACTATGAGAATTCCCTCCTGGAGGCTCCGTTCTTGTCACAGAAACTTCAAAAAAGTCTACTCTCTCCGCCCTCCCACACCCTCTAAACAGAATTACGGAACCCACAGGGGCATTCTAACAATTTGATTGCAGTCGTCCCCTATTTCCTCTCTTTCTTCGTTTTACTCGGCAGTTTACCAAATACAGACACCCTCACAAATATTGAAGGATTAACTCTTTGAGTCCCAGGGGGTTTAGCATCACAGGCCAAAGGGGTAGTCAAGAGAGACGTAAAATTGACGCATGTTGTGTTCATTCGTCTTCGAGATAGGAATTTATGAACGTATATGATGCGTTCCTTGGGACTCAAAGAGTTAAGTAAAAGTTAAACAAAAAGTAAGTAAAGATCCCTTTCCACGCCTTTAGGCATATCGGGCATATGGGAAGAGCGCCCATATTTTTACAGACCATCAGCACTCGGTGGGTAATGTGGTCAGCATAACGCCAATTGAAGGATTAAGACAAACAAAAACTATACACGTACGTAATAGTTCGGATCAGTTTCTCCAACGACAGTCAGAGTGTCCGGTCCCTCATAGATACACACTAGCTCCACTCGTGTGGTCCTGGCAACAGAAACATATATACCTTATTCAATTTTACAATTTATGGCAACAGTTGAAACGGAGACGCTAGGGAATGTAGTCTGACTGACTGACTTTCTACCCCACCAGGACATCACACAAGCGATAAACACCCGATGACACAAAGTGCCCCCATGTGGATGAGGATCACCGTGGAGAGGTCCCAGAAACCGCGTTCAGCCATTATGCCATATTTATGGCCAGGCTATATTGCGGCCCGTGGCTTGAGCCAGAGTAGGGCTTCAAATAACTAAACATTATATCCTAAAAAGGACGGCAAGACTGGCTTCAGGGTGTAGTCTGTTCAAATTTATCGTTTAGTGTACTTTTTAAATGCCAACTCTAAGGGACACAATCCAATGTTTGTGTGAGTTCGCATAATACTATTCTTTGATATGGTTAGGGTTACGGCTAACCCTAACCATATCCTGAAGCAATATTGTGAACGTACACAAACAATGGAGGGTGTCACCTACCGTGGCCGTAAAAAAAAATCGCATCCCCTAGGAGCAATTATCTTGTCATCCCTTTGTGGGATGCAATTTTTCGTTATTTGAAGCCCTACTCTAGCTCTTGCCAGCGTCGTTATTATTTATTTACGTCCTTGTTAGGACGTAATTTTTTGTTATTTGAAGCCCCACTCTGGCTTTTGCCAGGGGCCGCAATATAGGCAGGTCATCATTATGGCCGAATGTCTGAACGCGGTTTCTGGGACCTCTCCACGGTGATCCTCATCCGCATGGTGGCACTTTGTGTCATCGTGTGTTTATCGCTTGTGTGATGTCCTGGTGGGGTAGAAATTCAGTCAGTCAGTCAGTCTTGCCAGCGTCTGCATTATAGCCTTGCCATAAATATGGTCTAATGGTTCCTCCTTTTGTATGGGGTTGTATGTCCACTTTCTAGAAGTTCTATTTCAAGCATTTGTTTACACATTTCATAATACGTGAACACATTATTTGAGCTTCAGCACGTAATAATAACAAATTAGTATTTTTATTATTATTAGATACTTAAACAAGGCCCGTGACCCGTCAGTTCCCCTAGAAAATTAATAAAGGTGTTGAGCTATGACATAGATGAGTGGTTGGAAGCACTGAATTTAAGTCGAGAGCCTGCCGCCTGCGTGCCCAGTTTTTGACCCATTGAAATTAAAATGCAGTAGCCGGTTCGTTCCGGATCTGAATAGTGACTCTGTGTCATTGGGTTCTCAACTGAGAAACAAGACTAGCGCTCGCGCGCGCGCGCACACACACACACACACACACACACACACACACACACACACACATCGTTAGAAGTGAACACCAGCTAACACTAACACTAACACTTCCATACTATGGGCGAGCTAAAGATGGATAACAGGGCGGTGTTACAGTCGGATGCTATCCTGCATAGATTTCTCATGCAGACAGAAAAGACAGATGAAACAGAGATTACACGATATCCACATGGCTGAAATGGAGGAAGACGATGATACAGTATACATCTCAATTGTTTGCATTAGAGAAAAACTGAAGACCTGTCCAGACACAGCTCCAGGGCCTGATGGCATATTAGATACAGCGACTTCAAAAGCCCCGAGGAGACAGATATGGATGAACTATCCACGATATTGAACACCATGGAAACTGGCATTATCCCTGATGACTGGCTCCACAGCTACCTCAGAACGTGGATTCAGTGACCTTGGCTCCCAGATTGATCCCGGTCCACGCGAGAATAAAGGGCTACAGAATTGTCACACTCGAGAACACTATTGGAAAACTCATGGAAAAAATTGTGGCCAGTACGTTTTCCCAAACATTGGAGTCAAGTGGTCTATTCCCTGATACACTAGGTAGTTATCGACCGGAAAGAGATACACGGCCCAACGCTGCAGTATTTGCCTACGACACATACGAGGGTTTTTAAGGAGGGAATGAAAACGGCTGCAGCCGTTATTGACTTAGGAGATGCGTACAACAGCGTCCCATACAACATGCTCATCAGACTGCTGTTGGATATGCAGATAGAAACAAAATTGGTCAACTGGGTCGCAGCAGCGCTATTCGAAAGAACAGTATCGCTTCGATGTGGTGAATGGGCATCCGAACCTCAACGCGTCCTAAGGGGTCTGCCCCAGGGATCACCATTGTCGCCTGTGCTCTTCAGTGTGTACACAGCAGGAGTCACGAGTGCGCAAAGCGTAGGCCTAGGCAAAACAATGCAGATGATATCATTGTTTACCGTCGAGGTAAAAACTGGCAGGAAATTACAACCACGCTACAACACGAACTAGATAGACTTAGTGAGTGGTGCCAGGAATCAAGAGCTCAAGTGAACCCATCCAAAGCCTCCTTAACATGGTTCTCTCTGAATACCCACATCTTCAGTACATCAACGCCAGTCGTAAGCATATGTGGTGTGGACATCGAGAGAAGGGACACCATTAAATACATGGGCATGACATTTGACAGATGCTAGTCATACAAATGCCACGTAGACAACGTCATACTTGGAGCCAGGAAAGGTCTGAACAACGTCTACTTTTCCTTCTCTATCAAGGGCTTATATTAAACGTCGACTATGGTCTTGGCCTCCTCACTGTCAGCAAAACCCAGCTAGAAAGACTGGACCAAGTACAAAATAAGGTTATGAGACTCATACTCGGCTGCCCAAAAGACACCCCCTGCATCGCCATGCGTTATGTCCTGGGTTTGCCGACGATGGCTAGCAAATACAAAGAGGCACAGGTCAAGGCGTTCATGAGAGTATCGGCAGACTTTAACCACCCACTGCACAAAGCTAAACACTACACAAAAGGAACGCGTCTCAAAAGAGGCCGATATTGGATGGCAAAGGCTGAGGATTTAATCCAGCAGGCATGTGACCTAGACGTGATCAGTCACGGAAAAGAATGGACGAATCCACCAGTAGACATGCATGGCATCTCTAAGGTTGTCATCACACTCGGAAAGTACTGCAGGGATCAAATTCCTGCGGCCGTAGACACAGAAGTAAGGGAACTGATAGATCAGCATTCAGACTTGGAAGATATCATCATCTAGGCAGATGGATCCGTGAAGCGCGGATCAAGGTCAGCATGGGCATACACAGCGCAAAGAAAGGGGAAAACAATACATGAGGACAGCGGCATTTACCAGACAACCACGTCAAGCATGACAATGGAAATAGCCGCTGCTTCTAGAGCTTTAGCATGGGTATCCGAGCAAACCGCCATACAGGCAGTTATTGTATCAGACTCCGTAAATATGCTTCAGAAGTTAGCAACAGGCAGTATTTGCTCTGAATAGGTAGAAAGCATTTGAAAATCGCACTGAACTTCCGTAATCTGGATCTACACACCGGGTTATGCAGGCGTAAAGGAAAATGAGCGAGCGGACCAACTGGCAAGCACTGCACTAAGGATTGCGGGGAAAAAGCATGGACAGAGCAGATATCGTCAACGTTTTGTGGACTGGGCTAGTGGATAATGAGGAATCTTTGATACTAACACGGTTGCGTGACAAGGGAGTAAATCACGATAAAGCACGTCTTTGCCGTCTTGGAGGTCGAAATAGGAGACAATATAACCATCTTCTCATGGAAACAATTAGTAGAAGTACTTTTGATTGGCTGTGGTATTGGAGGACTGAGCACGCATGGGAAGGCCCAATGATCATTGACGTCGATTGTGATAACATAACATAACATACTATGGGATTTCCCGAGAATTCCCCACGAAATCTCGGAGGTCTCGAGATGGGGTGATATACAAGAAAAGAACCACACACACACACACACACATACACACACATGTATGTATGTATTCATGCATGCATACAACACAGCTTTAAAACCAAACTACAGTTCAACGATATTTCAGTTCTATCTTATTCTAGCGAAAGCTAGAGAACCACCAAAGATATGGAACGGAAGTTAAATGCATTTGAAAATAAATGTCTGAGAGAAATCTTGAACACAAAATGGGATGAATTCAGAAAGAGTGAGACGATCAGAGAAATGTCTGGACACATACCTGTAACGACAACAATAAGTCAAAGAAAACAGAGATATATTGGCTACATTCTGAAAAGAAATGAGCAAAGAATTACAAAACAGGCCCTGGAATAGGAAGCAAGCAGTATGAGAGAGAAAAAGAGGACGTCCGGGGAAAACATTAAGAAGAACACTATTAGGAGAGGCAAGAATGCTTGCCTGAATTCCATGGCAGAAATTGAGAAAGTTTCATGACATAGAGCAGAGTGAAGGAATCGACGGCACACACATGATGATGATGACAATGTGTGTGGGTGTGTGTGCGTGTGTGTGTATGTGTATGTGTGTGTGTGTGTAAACTTACTGTTGGAAGACTCCACAGTTTTTAGCACACAACCATAACTTACCGTGTCTTATTACTACTATCTGTGCTGTTGTAGATGATTGCCTGGTGGCCATTGGTGGAGTTTGTGACAAAACTGGCCGACTGCTGACTGCCCACATTTGTGTAGAAAACTCCGTCAAAACGGCATACCTGGCAATGTGGGTAGATTAGTTCTCGGTTAGTTTAGTTGCGTATCCTTTACAGGACGTTGCAGAACCAAGCCCAACAGACCCTGACTGTTGTGTGTTTTTTTAAAGACAAATTTACGCACAATAGTTTGTCATTGCAAGTTCTGGACGGTCGGCTTTCTTGATACCACTAGGCGCATGGCCCGCAGCTGGGATCGAACCCGGCATCCCGGCATTACGAAGCGTTTGCATTGACTTAGCCACAGAGCCGACTGATTAGGTCTCGACAGACAATAATTTCACACTGTTTCACATCTCTAGAGGGAGCCACCGTGGATGGTGTAGCGGCTAAATACTCGCCTGCGGGTCCGAAGGTCGTGGATTCAGTTACCTTGGTTCCCAGATTGATCCAGCCTTAAATAAATAGCAGGTGAAGTATTGGGAAGAAAAGGCGGCGGGCGTGATGTTAACTACGTCACCCACCGAGTACCGATTGGTCGATAAAATTTAGGTTTAGCCCTATATGCCCATTACACCTAAAGCGTAGAAAAGGGTCCTTTGCTTTTCTTACTTTTACATATCTCGGTTCTTTTCTGTTTTTTTTCACATCACGCCTGCATCGACATTTGATCGGGAAATCCCCTGACCTTTCCATAGTATAGGGGGTTTGGGGTTAGGGCTAGTGTAAAATTAATAGTAACTGGGGTACTTTCTTATTAGCCGCCAACAAACATGGGAAAGCCACAGGTTAAAGGACAGTCAAATATTTCAGGGGGTGGTAGATTTAGCATATAGTTTTGGTTAGAGTTAGGGTTAGGTAAACGCGCGAAAACCTTGGCCTTGTAAGAAACGCACTGTAGCTCAGAAAACACGAAAAACCCGTTCTTACCACCCTCTAAAATACTGGACTGTCCCGTGACGTCATTTGTGGTCGGCTAAAAAGAAAGTATCGAGACTACTACTAGTCCTAACCGTAACCCCCCATTACTATGGGACGGCCTTGGAATTTTCCTACCAACTCTCAAAGCCGGTGTGATGGGGTGAAACAACAGAAAAGAACCCATATCTCTAGAGTTAAATAATAGTAATAATATTAATAATAATAATAATATAATAATAATAATAATAATAATAATAATAATAATAACAATAATAATAATAATAATAACAATAATAATAATAAAAATAATAATTTAAGGAATCGTTCTACACTAAGTCACGAAGTTCACTTTCAGTGCATAACAGACTAGCACTACAAGAAACATCAATTAAAGCATTATTTCATGCTTAGAGACAAGAGGCAACCAGGAGAAAATTTGGTGAACCCTCGCAGACTTGCTGTTGATGTGCTGGTTCGTAAAGACAGCACAACTAATAAACCTGAGCATGTGAAACCGATCGCAAAGGACAAGAAAAACATGCAGACGAAATCATGGAGGCAGGTGATGTCTGTAGCAATGAACTTCGAGGAGTCGGAATGCTTAAAAATAATAATCATAATATAACAACACTAATAATAATAACAACAATAATAATAATATCACACTTAATGTTGTCTGCGGAACGTTACATTGGGGCGGCTTTTTCAAACAAATATTTTAAACGATCTAGCTAAAATGAGTAGGAAAAAATGTCTGGAAAGTATCTTGTAAATATATAAAGCAAACGAAAAGTAGGACCAATAAGCTTTACAGAATCACAAACGACAAGTGAACTTTGCGGTTAAAGAGCCTTCGTCAGCGCATTTCTGAGAGAGTTAAAGACGGCCAGTGTAATGTTTCCATACAACTTGCTGAGTGCCGACTGTTTTACTGAAATAGACGTCTGCAACAATGATTCTCAACCTTTCCTATTGCCGGGACCCTTTAAATACAAGTGTCCATATCACTGCTAAGAATACGAGGATTGTGAGTAAAGGTCGACACAGTCAAGCACGAGAAGCACACCGGACGATCACGAAGTCTTGTTAACCAACATAGAACTGGCACTATTAACTGCGCGATTCTGATGAAAATGCTGAGTGGCAAATCTGTGCTGTTAAGATAATCTAACTCAAAACTTTAATACAAGTCTTTTGTTGTGGTGACCCCCAACTATAAAATTATTTTCCGTTGCTACTTCATAACTTCAGTGAATATGTGTTTTCCGATGGTTTTAGGTGACCCCTGTGAAAGGGTCGTTTGACCCCCAAAAGGGTCGCGACCCAGAGGTTGAGAACCGCTGGTCTAGAACAATCTGCCAGAATACACAAATTGTGCGAAAGGGTAGTAAGAAAGTAAATTTTACCCCACCAGGACATTACATAGAGCGATAAATACCCGGTGACACAAAGTGTTACCATGCGACGAGGATCACCCATGGACAGGTCACAGAAACCGCGTTCAACCGTCAGGCTATATTGTGGCCCCTGGCAAAAGCCAGGGTGGGGCTTTAAAAAAAAAAAAAATTGCCTCCCACATGGGGATGATGTATTCGGTTAGCGCGAAAGGGTGGGGTGCTTGCTTGTTTATTGTACACCACCAGGACATCACCACACTTGCGATAAACACCCTGTGACACAAACTGCCACCATTCGGATAGGATCACCCGTGGAGAGGTCCCAGAAAACCCTTTCAACCGTTATAGCCACAATTGTGGCCCAGCTTTATTCGGGGCTCCCGGCAAAAGCCAGGGTGGGGCTTCATATTACGAAAAATTGCATCCCACAAGACGACCCGATGAACTACCCGCAAAGGGGTCGTTTATTGTTTACATATAAATACGTTTGCATAGCAACATTTAGGTGACAAAATGGCGAATAAGTACATGACTTACCGATACACCGGTACAGTTGTTTTCAGTAAAGTTGTAACAGGGGTTGAATGAATATCTGCTAGTATAGTATGTATCCCATAAGTTTGACCATCTAGTGGAGAAGATAATTAATGAATTAACAGAGGCATCACTTTCCCCCGAATATATTATTTAGTGACCGATACATTATACAAATTACCACTAAACATATAATAATCTTCTTAAAGACAGCGAACTTTTCATGTGAAAAATAATGTTGAAACATGTATGTGTGCCTGTTATCCTGTACGGATGCTAATGTTGGACATCTGGAGGGAAAGGGGGGGGGGGGGGGGGGGGAGTGGGAAGGGTCAATCAGATAGACTGCAGTTAGCCTTTTTTACGTGATCCTACATAGTATGTTACATACCTTGGTGTTCCATTGTTGAAAGCTAAGGGAGACAAATCCACCACCCTCTTATCCGGGAAGACACAAGAACACGAGTTGCGCTGGACACAGACATTTTGGGCCTGGACCTTGGCGTACGCTAAACAACAGACGAGAAGCGCCAGCAGAGCCAGTTTCATCATTGCTGCCAAACTTTCTGGGCTCTCTCGGTTTATCTGCTGAGACAAAGAAATAAACACATCATGTGATGACATGTTTGTCGGTAAAATATGCTGTTAAATAGAGATGAACATCATCCTTTCGTGTTAGCTACTACTTTTCGTCCTTCTTAGGACGTTATTTTTTGTTATTTGAAGCCCCACTCTGGCTTTTGCCAGGGGCCGTGCAATATAGGCCCATATGGGTGGCTGAAACGGTTTCTGGGATCTCCACGGTGATCCTCATCCGCATGGTGGCACTTTTGTGTCATCTTTTTATCGCTTGTGTGATGTTGTCCTGGTGGGGTAAAAAAATCCAATCCAATCCAATCCTTATCGTCTCTTATTTAGCCCACATTGGATCCTTCTCGTCCTTTTTAGGGTGAAATTTATCGTTATTTGAAGCCCTACAGGGCTCTTGCCAGGGGCCGCAATATAGCCCGGCCATAAATATGGCCTAATGGCTGAACGCGGTTTCTGAGACCTCTTAACGGTGATCCTCATCCACATGGTGGCACATTGTGTCATCAGGTGTTGATCGCTAGTGTGTTGTCCTGGTGGGGTAGAAAGTCAGTCAGTCAGTGGCACATTGTGGTGCTCGGGTATGATGTGCTGGTGGGGTAGAAAGTCAGTCAGTCAGTGGCACATTGTGTCATCGGGTGTTTAACGCTTGTGTGATGTCTTGGTGGGGTAGAAAGTCAGTCAGTCAGTGGCACTTTGTGTCATCGGATGTTTAACGCTTGTATGATGTCCTGGTGGGGTAGAAAGTCAGTCAGTCAGTGGCACATTGTGTCATCGGGTGTTTATCGCTTGTGTGATGTCCTGGTGGGGTAGAAAGTCAGTCAGTCAGTGGCACATTGTGTCATCGGGTGTTTAACGCTTGTGTGATGTCCTGGTGCGGTAGAAAGTCAGGTCATGCAATGGCACATGTCATCGGGTGTTTTAAAGTCCCAGTCCAGTCAGTCAGTGGCTTGTGTCATCGGGTGTTGATCGCTAGTGTGATGTGCTTGGGGTCAGAAAGTCAGTAGTGGCACATTTGTCATCAGGTGTTTAAAAACGCTTGTGTGATGTCCTGGGGTAGAAAGTCTCAGGTGGCACTTTGTGTCAATCGGGTGTTTAACGCTTGTGATGTCCTGGTGGGGTAGAAAGAGTCAGTCAGTCAAACATTGGTCTAATGTTTATCGCATTGTGTGATGTCCTGGTGGGTAGAAATCAGTCAGTCAGTGGCACTTCATACGGGTGATCTACTTGTAGATGCAATTTTTCCCCATGGCTCTTGCTAGGGCATATATCCCGACCCTAAACATGTCATGGCCGGGTGTTTAACCTCTTCACGGTCCCCCCCCCCTCCTCAACGGGTTATCCCCATGGTGTCCTTTGTGTCATCGTGGGGTAAAATGTCCTGGTGGGGTAAAAATCTACTACTACTACTGACATTTTTTGTTAAGCCCCATCCTGGCTCCTGTTAACGTCCTAAAATAACCCAACCGATATGTTGAAATGAGTCTCTGGGACCTGTCCCCAGGTGATCCTCATCCGAATGGTGGCACTTTGTGTCACCAGGTGTTTATGGCTCTTTGTGCGGTCCTTTTTTGGTTGAACGTCATCATCATCACTTCCTATTTCATCAACCCCGCCTCAGTGTGGGACGCAATTTTTTTTAAATTATCGTAAAGACCTATTCTGGATCTGTATGTCAAAGTTATATAACCACACGTCCAGTTTTCATCAGGGACAGTCCTGTTTTTTTAGGTGTGCCAAGGCCATTTGAAAAAGAAGGAGGAGAAAAAGAAAGAAGAAGAAGAAGAAGAGAAGAAGAAGAAGAAGAAGAAGAAGAAGAAGAAGAAGAAGAAGAAGAAGAAGAAGAAGAAGAAGAAGGATGAGGAGGAAGAGGAGGAAGAGGAGGAAGAGGAGGAAGAGGAGGAAAAGGAGGAAGAGGAGGGGGAGGAGCAGCAGCAGGAGACACATGTACACACAATTCATGATAGGCGTATCAGCCATGTGCACCTGTGGAAAGGTGCCCCAGACAGCAGAGCATGTACTCCAGGACTGCACCGAATTTGACACATTATGGCAAACCTTTTGGCCAGAAAGAACAACGGTGGAACGTAAACTCTATGGACCACTGGATGAACTAACTAAGACAGTGAAATGTTTACAAGAGACAAAATTAGTGATACAGACAACTTTTTTTCTGGCGAACGAAAGAAGAAGAAGCAGCAGCAGCAGGAGAAGAAAACGATTTAAAAAAAAATTCAAAACATAAGAAAAAGACGCAGAGGAGTAGGGGAAAAAAATGATGAAAGTGGGGATGAGATGGAGCAAGAGGATGACCAGAACACGTAATTTGAGTTAATCGACCGAATATCATCTTCACAGATCGGACAAGTCCAGAAGCCTTAGAATCCCATCTTCAGATCTCCCTCAACGTATGGCAACTGACAACATCATTTCTGTGTTGATTTTCTATTCTTCTTTTGCTGCCTGTATAGTATTCATGTCTGATAATGCCTCTTTTGACACGAAGTTCTTATAGTCTTGTCATTGTTGTCCATTCAATGTCGTCTTCTGAATCATCTACTGGTCTTGCCTCCTTGAGAACATCGTCCCAGTCGATTGCTTTTCTGGTGCCTATTAGGGCCCGTAAGTCAGAAAGTATCACAGACATTGATAGATACGGTGGTGGTATAGAAGGGATAAAATGAGCCTCAGTTTGAGTAATGAGAGGACAGAAGTAATGGTGATTCCCAAGACAAGAATAGAGCCTTTATGTTTAATACAAGTCATAGGAGTTACTGTAGGACAAGTACATACATTTTAATATCAAGGCACACGGATAACATCCGATGGCAGATGTATCACAAATATAAAGAACAGACTGGGACAAAGCCAAAACTGCCTCATTCTCAAATAAAGAACATTTTGTGCAATGTATCTATGTCATTTGAAGTTTAAAAAAGAATCCTCACATGCTATTTAGAGCCAGTTTTAACAAAGTGCTGTGAATCCGAGACAATTAATAAACAAGCCGAACAATATCTTGAGGCTTCGGAGATATGGTTTTACAGAAGAATCATTGGACAGCTGAGCAACCCTGATATTTTGAAAGGGCGAGTGCTCAAAGACAACTTATCACAAACATCAGAAAGAGACAATCATCTTTTTGTGGTCATGTTATGAGAAGAGGGAAACTGGAACATGTTGTGACCACTGAAAAGATCTGTGGAAAGAGAGACAGGGAAAGAGAGCGCGAGACAATTATCGACAGCCTTTTGTCATGGCATGGAGGGGTGTCACACACTGATACACGCAGTTGTGGATCGCAGATTGTGAAGAGGTTTAATGGCACGTGTCATTCGGCAAGGCACTTGGTGATAATGTGTATGGCTCTGCCAACTAGCCAATCTGGACAAGAAATAGGGAGGATGAGGAGAGGAAGTGGGAGAAGAAGAGGAATGATTAGTAAACTGACAATCACTCACATGCACGGAAACAATCTAAAAACTTCAATATCCCTCTTGTGATTTGAATTTGAAAATGTCGACTGCAGCGCCTCTCAGTGAGTCGAGTAGACAATCAGCATATTATGGATAAAAAGGCATACGACAACTTAAATATTATCGGAACGCCGACCTTGCTTTAATCTTCACTTAACTTAAGATAAGATAAATATTATCTACACTGGTACATCTACAGTCCACTTTTTTATATGTTATCTCGCCAATTATTTGCTGATGTCGTCATTTGGGGTGGTATGTTTTTAAATTTCTGAAACGGTTATGTTGCATAGATAATTACTCATATTTGAAAAAGAACGCTGTGTAGGAGTATTTTGGAATGATCAGGCAGATAGGTTGGCTGGACTGGCCCCCCAGGGGGGTGGGGGGATGTGTACTGCAACTACACAGTAAAGGTGATCTCTAGCATGTGGGAGCAGGTAATAAGTAGAATTGGAGATTCTGAATACCCGTTTTTGGACAGAAAGATGCAGCTTGAAGAGACTGTCGCCTGTGGATGCCACTTGAGACTCGGGGGGAAAGGCAAGACGCGTAGTTAACCAGACGACAAGGACATCATCAGTGAGGTTGTTGTGAAAGGAGACAGAGCTAGTACGGGTTTCTCATGGATGGTGTGAAATCGAAGCTTATCCCAAATGAAGCTGACAAAGAACGTGAAACGAAATACAGATCTGCATGCATCTCGTCTCGATTCAACTCGACTCTCTTGTACACTGCAATGAAGTATTAACTACTGGACAGTAAGAGCACCAAAATCTAGGCACTTGTACCTCTTAAGCTCCTGTCTCCACCCTGCATTGTGTTGTTGTTGGGGATGGGGAGGGGTCACAGCTTCAATTTGTAAATTTGTAAAGGAACTACGTGTCAATCATGCATGGCTCTGTTTTGTAAGTATGGGTTAATCATCACCAGACACCAGCTCCTTCGCGGCAGATTTGAAAATCTCTTTCTCTAGCCACTTCTCCAGCCCTTTGAGCTTTCATAGCTAATGCATCTTCTTGTATGCAGCTCTACACATGTCTGCCTTTGCGTCATTTTCCGAAAACCGTACCCTCCATCTCGGTTCTCTCCAGGCCATCATGACGTTTAACATGGTCAAACTATCTCAGCTTTTGGGACAGGATTCATTTTATGAGCCAGTTTTGAGTTATGATTTGGGTTATCTACATGGCACTCCGGACATGTCCATAGGTGCTCAGATTCCCTCTTCAACATATACATCAGCGTCCCGTGGTCGATAGTCCCAGTCCTAATGTTGGCCGACAAGAAATCTCGCGTCTGGTGTGCTTCTCGCGCCCGGCCGTGCCGATCTTCACTTCAAGCTAGCTCCCGCTCTCCTAGCAAAGACGTGGATGCGCTGCTCCCAACCCCCCCCCCCCTTTTTTTACAACGGCATCAGCAATGTCTGCACGATTCAAGGCAGAGCCGGCTAATCTGTCAGCTCTTTCATTGCCAACAACACCCTCATACCTGGGACAAAAATGAAGGTAACTCCACACACAGTGGAGTGTTACAATGGCTCCATCCCTGTCTGCGTACAAAGCCCGCCTCGAGCCATATAAACAAACCAAGATGAGAGACAGGGAGTGTTGGAGATCTACTGCAGCCAACCTTCATTGTGAAGACGGCACTTGACTAATTGAGGTAGCCAAGCTAGGGTGATCTCAGTTGCAGGGTATGTTGTGATGTTGAAAAATCTCAAGCTGTCTGACTCTTATCAGTCCATTTTTTCTAGGTCTCCCTCTCCATCTTGGTGTTTCCATTAGGCTCTCAGTCTACATCACTGGATTCATTCACACTAAGAGGCTGAACCATTTGAGTCCTTGTATCTCAATAAATACATCTAATTCGATCTTGTAATTTCATCATTCATGCCCATATTTAACAAAATGTTGAATTTTATTTTTCTTCTGCCGTTTTCTTTGCCTCTTTCATCATCACTGACACTTCACTGTTTTTCTTTCAAGCTGCCACCTGCAGTTTTGACATCACAGTGAGCAGGATATCAGTCCAACAGCAGCGATCCCCATATGCTCTGTCCAACCCCTAAAGATAAAAATGAAAAACTAGCCGATAATAAAAATGATATCATAATGTTCGAGACATTTCCATAAGCACTGCAAAACTCCTAAGATAGTTATAATTATGGTATCTTGTGGCTCCTCCTTCTTCTTTTAGTCCATGCCATATGGCGTTGGTAGTCATGTCCATTCACAACACTCTGGCTCACATACTTTTAGTTGAATCTGACATAGGTGATCTTCCATGCCATGATGTCAAACTGTCTTCTCTGTCGCGCTCCCTCTCTCTCTTTCCCAGGGCTACAGCAAGAAATACTTTGCCATACATCACAATGCTAAGTCATCATATTCAGGTGCTTGGCCGACTGGCGTAGGTGATCATGCCTCTCCACAATCTGCGATCTCCGGCAGCATGTATCAGTTCGTGTGCTGACACACCTCTATGCCATGTAACAAGACTCAAGAATCTTCTCGTTGTCTTCCTCTATCTCTCCTTCCACAGATCTTTCCAGTGGTCACAACATGTTCTATTTTCCCTCTTTTCATAACATAGCCGAAAAATAATGACTGTCTCCTGTTGTCTATGATAAGTTGTCTTCAGGCTCCTGCCTCTTTCAAAACCTCTTGGTTGCTCTTTTTGGCTGTCCAAGGTATTCTAAGCATTCTTCTGTAAAACCACATCTCTGAGGCATCAAGAAATTGTCTGGCCTGCCTACCGATTGTCCAGTACTCACAGCCACATGTTAAAACTGGATGTATGTAGCAAGCAAGAATTTTTTTTTCTAACTTTCAATGACAAAGATATATTGCACAAGATGTTCTTCATTTCATAAAATGCCTTGTTTTTGCCTGTTCTATTCAGTTTCTTATCTCAGTTATGCATCTTCCATCTGATGTTATCCATATGCCCAGATACTATGCTAAGTAAGTAAAGTAAATGATAATATAGAAAGCTGTTAGCATTTTTTTTCGCACTCAGGGCTCAAAAAGAATTACAAGGAACTCTGGGGGGAGTTACAACATAAGCAAGCTCTCTGGTTCTTTCCCTGTTTGATACTCTCCAGGTGTGGGTGATAAGCCGAGTTGTTTTTCTCCTGTTGTGCATTTGAATCCTTTTCCCGACATGAACAATGAATACACTGCTAAGGACAGGCATCTTATAATAACCATTTCTCTGTGTGATCATTCAAAAGCTACCCTGCCCTAAGGAACACAATCTATGTGTACTCTACACCTCACTGTCATTTCGACTACCGCAACTTGGCAGGGAGTGAGCCAGCCTCTCTCTCCCTCCGTCAACTAGCCTCCATCACCACCTGGGTTCACTGTGGCATGGAGTGAAAAGAGAGAGCTTGAGGGGAGGAACTTTACTTACGGTTCTAAGGTAGGACTGGGCTGGACTGAACAAAAGAGAGGTGCAGACAACAAACTTGCATGTTACCTACCATTTATTATATAAATGAATAATTTCAAGCCATTCAGACTAGAACATCACAAGTTTTATTGTTAAATTCAACAAACAAAACATAAATAAATGTTCCTGCACGGAAGTCAGTCAAGTAAAGGACCCTTTCCCACACCTTCAGGTGTATAGGGCACATAGGGCTAGACCTATATTTTATAGACCAACGGCACAAGGTGGCTGATGTGGTCAGCAACATGCTCGGCTGCCTTTGCTTCCCGGGACTGCACTCGGTATCCACTCAAGACCTGAGAGCCAAGGTCATTTTTTTTAAAAGTCTGGCTCTGTTAGGGAGCTAACCCAAGACCTTCAGATCCGCGGCGAGCATCTAGCCACTCCGTCACGGCGACTCTACCCCTGCACGGAATGACATATAAAATAAACAAATAGAATTATAAAAAAAAAAAAAAAGGATGCAGTCAGTGCAGACAAGCCTTCTTGTAATACACTGTTAATACAACATCTCAAAAAAGGACATGTTTATTTTAACATGGATTCTAATCATGTGTAAGTCACCATTCTTATCATACTATTATAATCCAATGTGAGTTCCACGGTTCAACTGGGGTAGGGGGGGGGGGGGGGGGGGGGGGGGGGGGGGGGGGGGGGGTTGGATATTCAAGAAAATGAAGCTCTAAACGACAACAGAGCAAGCCAACTGCCTTTTTTAAGGTGAACCTAGGAGGTGTTTCCAACATGGCCTCTGTTCCTTTTCCTCCCTCCCAAACATGGTAGCAAAAATCCATAACCCATGCCATCTCAACAAGGAATCTTAACCATTAGCCTATGCTGTCTCAACAAGGCTACTCTAATATCTAACTCAGGCTGTTAAAACATTGTTTCCTCTAAAATTTAACCCAAGCTATCTCAACTTAAGTTTCTCTAATATTTAACCCAGGCTGGCCTCAACATGGTCTCTCTAATATTTAGCCTAGTCTATCTTAACAGTTTCTCTAATATTTAACCCAAGCTGTCTCAACAAGCTGTCTCAACATGTTTTCCCTAATATTTAACCAGGCTGTCTCAACATGGTTTCTCTAATATTTAACCCAAGCTGTCTCAACATGGTTTCTCTAATGTTTAACCCAAGCTGTCTCAACATGGTTTCCCTAATATTTAACCCAAGCTGTCTCAAAATGGTTTCCCTAATATTTAGCCTAGTCTATCTTAACAGTTTCCCTAATATTTGACCAAGCTGTCTCAACATGGTTTCCCTAATATTTAACTCAAGCTGTCTCAACATGTTTTCTCTAATATTTAACCCAAGCTGTCTCAACATGGTTTCTCTAATGTTAACCCAAGTTGTCTAAACATGGTTACTTCAAGACTATAATCTAAACCATACTGTAATGTACAGTGAAACAATCCTAATATTGAATTCATGCTCTCTTATACACAGCTACTTTAACACTTTCTCAATGCTCTCTCTCACACAACAGGGCCCATTGTTAACAAACATTTAACTCACAATGTCCTATACAATATTATTAACATTTAAATCACAATTCTGAACAATATAATTATCCAACTATTTCATGTACCAGACATACATAAATATGTAAACAATAATTATCATTTAAAAAATGCAAATAAGGAAACAGAACCTCATATCTCTTTCTACACCCTAAGCATTTATCGAAAAAGTGAAGAAGAAAAAATAAATAAAGGGGGAAAAAATCTATAACATATTCTCAAGTGAAGAGTCAAACGCTCTTCTTACATGAAAATCTGATGAACTAATTTGCCTGCCGCATCTGTCAAATAAAACAATAATAATACTACAATCTCTTCTAAACAAGTTCAAGCATGTATAAGTGTATTCCAAAATGCCAATCTCCCCGGTAGTAACATTTGATCCCCTACCCCCAGGACTGCAGGTGAAGCCAAAAGTTAATCTAAAAAATTGCATACAGACAAACAGTAAAGGACAGACGGGACGGTAGAGAGGGACAAGGGCTGATCACCATGAATATGGGCACTGTACATGGAGACACCTTGGACAGTAAAGGGCATGAGGTGGGAGAGCCGGCAAAGGGCTGAGTTTCATGTGTGTCATGATGGGAGGTACACTCTGTCAAGGGTTGTGGCAGGCCATCAGGGTATCAGAGACTGAGGAAACAAGAGCGCCCAAGAGAGACAGTAAAATGAGCATTGTTCGGTGCTGGACTCGATTCTATCTATGACATCAAATGAACCACAGAAGACAAGAGAATGAGGGCCGCACTGCAAGCCCTATGCGAGGATCATGATGACATGTGTGAATAGGGGGCATCTGGAGTCTGTCAAAGCTCCACGGTGCAGTCCCAATGGGGGAATCCAAAACAAAAGAAGATATTCAAAACATGAAATCAAACCACGCAACAAGGCACAATTATCAAATTCAAAGTAATGTAGATATGATTGATGTTTTTTTTCAGGTTACATTTGTGTGACAGACAAGGAACCAACAGTCTGCACACAAATAAGCCAGATCTGTAAAATGTGCATGCAAAACTCAAGTCTTGGAACAAAATCAAAGTACAGAAGTGGATGAACAACCAGGACTTTCCACCTATGAACATGAAGAAGAAAAACAGGCAAGCAACACACTCCCAACTAAATCAATATCATGGAAAAAAACCATGACAAATTTAAGCATACATTCTTGCATTTTCCATTTATATTCATGTGAACCCACAACCTTCACGTTTTGCAAATCAGCTGCCTCCCAGACTCATGGAGTCATCTGCAGAACTGCCATAGTTCAGTTGTGCTCAACAATTATAGATGCAATGAACACTTCATGAAAAGCTTGTATGAATCACCAAGCAGAGAAGGTTTTTCATTTTTATCTGAAATGGCAAAAGAGGTTAGTTATAATTAAGTTATTAACTATTTATGTCAAAAATGTAACATGACAGTAACACAACACAGCTGTGGAGTTGTAGTCCAACAATGCCTTGCTTCTGTGGCTTAGAGGTTAATGATACTGTTTTACAATGCTTACCCCATGTTTACCAAAAATAAGAATTACACACAAAAAAAGTTCATGTGGCTTTCAGAGAGATTGACTTCACTGAACCACAGAACAGCTAGCTGATTGACGAGAGCTTCGCACAGAGCATGACCTCCGTAGCTCCGGTGACAATCCCAAGTGATCTCTGCAAAAATTGCACTCGTGAACTGAATCGGTACCACCGTGAAACAAACCCACACCTTCAGAGAGTGAGGCAGACCCCCTCAGACAATGGTAAGAGAGTCACACCAGGGAAGAGATCTGGCCCTTATCATGTGATACAGTGGTACCTCGAAATACATCCGCTTTCTAATAATTCCAGACTGGCATACATCCTGTTTAGACACAAAAATGTTTGCTTGGTAAACAATCTTTGTTTGGATTACATCTTGTGTGCTAGAACTTGTGTCAGTCAAAATGAGCCTAATAATTATAAATAAATGTTTTCCAAATAGATGGATATTAAACCTTTCGCTGCTATGTACTTCCTAGCGAACGTTACCACTGTGCTAAGCAAGTTCTCCGCTGAACGTTCCCCCTGTGATCAATACTTTTCTATCCTCCAAAGGCAAAAGACAGGTTGGCGGTGAGGGCTGTTTTGTAAACCTGAAAATATTTACCCCAGGTAAATGGGTGATAGTCTGAGTGCTGACAAATTAGACGCACAAAGGCGTCGCCAAGAAATACATTTACAGAAAGGGAACACTAGAAACTAGATATATATGCCTGGCTTCACTCAGGATAGTGACAGAAAATTTATCCTCGGCTATCTTTTTCTCCACCGCTACCACATATGTAGTAGAAACACAGGGAACACAACAGGAGCCTTTCGATCGTCAGCAGGAACATTCTTTTAATGTTTCAACCACTTTACATTCCTTGCTGATGGATATTGCAAGACAATTTTTATTCTTCCTGCTTCTACTTCGTCTCAACCGTGGCCATGTGTTTAGTCACTGCCCCGAGTGCATCTGAGGCTATTATAGTGCCCTGGCCCATTCCACTGCCCTACAAACTTGACTCACAAATCTACCGCCCCCTCACCCCTACCAGGGGGTTAGGGGTTACAGAAGAATTGGTCTAGGAGAATCCTAGCATTTCACCCAAGGCCGTGACTCATTAATGACAGTTTACACCGATTGCAACCCCCCCCCCCCCCCCCCGCCTTTTTTTTTTTACCTAACCCTTTCGCTGCTGTGGACGAGATAACTCATCTACCTACCTGGTAGACTGCTAAGGACGAGTTAACTCGTCTTCTATTTTCTGGGCCCTCAGTGCTAAGGACGAGATAGCTCGTCCTTGACTTTTCTTACAGATTGTTAAGAACAGTAATTCTTGGGGGTGAAATGGGAATATACATTACCTTTTGATCAAATGACCCATTTACATACAATTAAAAATCACGTGCGTTTAGCCGTATTTAGATGCATTTCACGCTATCCTGTTGCTTGTTACCATAGATGGTCGGTGAACTGTAATTTTTTTGTTATTTTTTATGGTTTTGCGATAAAAATTTAAAAAAAAAATACAAAATAACAAGAAAATGTTTAATTAAAGTTAATGACGAATTAAATGGAGTTTTTCACTGAGTAATAGTAAATCACTTTAAACGTGTGTTTATTAGCTGGGTTATCTTCGCGGCACGCCGGCGGACACGTGCACTTCTGGTCGTGAGCAAGACTGACCATATGACCCAGCTATCTACATCGACTGGATTTGAAATGGATCCCCAATAATCAAAATAAAGATTTGGTCACGTACTGACATGATGATTAATATTAATGTTTCTAATAAACTATAGAACTGACATAAATGTGTTTGTCTGTCAAAGTGTACAATACCAGTCCTATTTTCAGTTCATATTTCCATGTGAATTTCTAGTGTAGTTGGTATCACGTCTGCCTAACAATCAAAAGGTCCTGAAGTTCAACCCCTACATGATGTTTTTAAAAAAAAATTTTTTTTTTAAATGTTAGTAAGAGAAATTCTACAGAAATATTGCAAGGAAAAGAGAAGAAGTGTAGGAGGACAAAAGTAAATATCTACCACTTCGTTTAGTACAAGGGCATTTCCCTTCATCAATAGAGTCCGTAACATCACAAACAAATTCCCAACAAGAAAGTGTGTGGTATGCGCAAAAAGCAAAAAACGACGGGAAACCAGATACATGTGCAAGGACTGTGATTTGGCATTGTGTGTCGCACCTTGTTTTGAAATATTTCACACAAAAAGATATTAATAATAATAAAAAGCATGTATTTGCTTACTAAAGTGCTTTGTGTTTGCTTTGTAAGTTTGTAGTGTTTTCTTTTTGTTAATGAGTTTTCATGGCGTAGAAATAGCGCGTCTGACTTGTCAGCGCAAAGTTCAACCACACGCCTTCAGAGTTTTTATTTTTGGTGTACAGTTTTTACCCCTCGCCGCCAGCGCATCTTCTGCTTTTGAAGGAAAAAACGGTATTCAGCACAGGAGGAAAGATTAGCTCTCGCCTGGCTTAGCACAGTGGTTACGTTGGCTGGCGGAGGGCGCAACAGCGAAAAGGTTAATCCAATTCATAAATCAACCACTTTAGTCATAATAATTGTAATCTCCATGTTATTACTTTTTTCATGAATAATTAATACTTCAGTGATACCTTGCCGAAGCTGCTAAAGGCTAAAATTAAACATTTTCATTTAAAAAAAAAGTACTGTAGAGAACGCAAGACCTTTTGATTGTAAGGCCGACGTGTTATGAACTAAACTAGAAATTCGATATTCAAATAAGAACTGAAAATAGGACCAGTATTGTACACTGCGATAGACACTTTCATGTCTGTTGTATAGAAGAAACACAAATGCTAATTATCATGTCAGTACGTGACCATATCTTCTTCGTGATCATTGGGGATCCATTTCAATCCAGTCGATGTAGATGGCTGGGTCAGATGGTCAGCCCTGCTCACGGCCAGAGGTACATATGTCCACCGGCATGGCGTGAAGATACCCCAACTCATAACTCATACATTTCAAAGTGATCCTTACTATTACTCCTTGAAAGAAACTCCATTAACTCTTCAATAACTTCAATTTACAAATTTTCTTGCTATTTTGTTTTTAATTTTAAAAATATTAAAAAAGTAGACTAACGCAAAATCAGAAATATATTTCAGGACAAAAAATACACCGTTCAACGACCACACTTCTATGGTAACAAAGCAACAGGATAACGTGGAATACATCTAAGTACACCAAATTGCCTGTGATAAGAGTTTTAGTTTATGTAAATGGGTCAATTGATCAGATTTAGATATGTGTATTGCCATTTCACCTCTGAGAATAACGGTTCTTAACAATCTGTAAGGTAAAGACGTTTTAATTTGTCCTTAGCAGTGAGGGCACAGAAAACAGAAGACGTATTAATGCGTCTTTAGCAGTCTATCGGGCGGGCGTATATGTAAGTCCTTAGCAGGGAAAGGGTTAAAAACTTTGCTGAGAAGTACCACCCCAAACAAGCTGTAACAGCACTGTCTGTAATGGAATGGAGGGAGTAGCCATGGTGTAGTGGCTAGGTGCTCGTCTGCATATCGGAAGGTCATGGGTTCAGGTCCTGATGGTGCTGGGCGTTTTTCACAAATGACCTCGGCTCCCAGGTTAATCCAGCCTTGAATAGGTACATGGTATAGCCCAGGGAAGTGAAAGCAGCCGGTGTTATGTTGACCACGACACCCACCGATTGCAAATTGGTCTATAAAATATAGTTCCAGCCCTATATGCCAAAAGCACTGAAGACGTAAAAAGGGGCAATTTTACTTACACTAAAATTATAAGTGTTACAAATGATCCAGTTTAGTTTAAGACAAAAAAATACAAACAATGCATTAAAAAAAAATTAAATTACCTGTCATTTGACAACACTTTTCCGGATGACGAATTATCTTCCCTATTGTCACGATAGTCTTCCCTGCGGCGGGGTGGGCGGTCATTGTTAGCCATCTCCACCTGAGAGTGACAACATAAAATGTCGAACATTTCACAGTAAATCTTTAAAGATATTCAATAACCACTGCAATTAACTAAGGTTCGTAGATTATTATTTTTATTATTCTTTTTTCTACTCCTGGAATGCCTCATGGCGTCAAAGGCAGGAAGAGATCTCTGGGACAGGCCCTTATGTTTACTTGGTATAAAGTACTTTTCAGCATCTCTGATATTTCTACCGTCCATATTCTGCATGGTTGACCTCTGGCTCTGTTACCCTTGTATCTGTATAACATTGCTCTCTGTGGTGCCCTGTCTGATGCCAATCTTGTTACATGGCCAACCCATTTGATTTGTTGTCTACATGGAAGGTCCGTGCCGACTCTCCTCCTGATACCATTGTTCCCAAGTTAATCTTTCCTCTTTACACTTAGCACAGTACATTATTCAACAGTTTAAAAACAATACACTTGGCACCCGAATCAGGCAAACAATGACTATGCTCTTTTTGAACGGCATGGACTGGCCAGTTTTACGCTCCAGGACATGGTATAAATGAGCTCATTATGAGCATATATACAGGCAGTAGTTCACCACTGTGCTCATGTGAGCTGTGCAAACGAACTGCAGAACCCTGCAAGACTGTACCTTGTTCAGCCCAATAAGAAGAGAGTACTGGCCCGTTGGGTAAACATCCCAATTAAAGCTTTATGGAATTAAAACAAAATCTAAATTCTTGAAAAAGAACTTGTCTGTTGATGAAAATCAAGGGAGCGATCATAAGAAGAAAAAGAACTGATCTATAAGCTTGCATCAAGAAGTGGAAAATAATACTGCTGTACGCAATGTTCACAGATAGTTTGGCATTATATCTTCCCCATCCTTGATTCTCAAATAGTGTACTGCATGTATAGCCTTCTCAAAGGTAGAAAACAGTATACTAAGAATACCTCTGCAGTTGGAAGTCATACAGAGTAGGCCATGAGCAGCACTACAGTGGCAAAATCTAAAACCGCAGAACGCCCCCACACCCCCCCCCCCAAATAAAAATAGTATGTGCATTAAGTATTCTCACCAGTGTTATCATTCAAGTGCATCCTTACCAACACATGACTCTCTAACAGCATGACAAAAGAGTGCAGTTTGTCTCCATCTGATGTGGGGGATCAGCTGCTCTTCATAAGTCAGTTTCTTTCAAGACATCTTCACTACACTTTTTATTTGTCCAGGGCTTTCTCATCCGTGTGTCTCTCATCAGGTCACTATTTTCACCCTCTCGGTCCTAAACTAACATTTATTTAATTGTCCCATTTCTCAGTCCTAATTTAACTCTTCATTCCCAAACAATAATTACTGAAAGTAACGTCTCAGAATCCATTCAAAAACAAATGTCTGTGGCAAATCATGAACATAAAATGGCAGGAATTCAAGATTAGCGAAGAGAAATGTCTGGGCAACCACTAGTATCAACAGTCAAGAGACAGAGAAGATGGCGCTATTACTTGACAAACTCTGAGAAGATAAAGATATTACTGGACAAACTCTGATAAGATGGCGCTATTACTGGACAAACTCGAGGAGATGGAGATATTACTGGACAAACTCTGATAAGATGGCACTATTACTGGACAAACTCTGAGAAGATGGAAATATTACTGGACAAACTCTGATAAGATGGCGCTATTACTGGACAAACTCGAGAAGATGGAAATATTACTGGACAAACTCTGATAAGATGGCACTATTACTGGAAAAACTCTGAGAAGATGGAAATATTACTGGACAAACTCTGAGAAGAGACAGAGAATCCCTAAACTGGCAATGAAATGGTAAATAGAGGGATTCAGAAAACGCGAACGTGCAAGAGAAACCCTTCAAGCAGCAGTTCTCAACCTGCGGGTCGCGACTTTTTTTGGGGCCAAACGATCCTTTCACAGGGGTAACCTAAGACTATCAAAAAATCCTTTCACAGGGGTCACCTAAGACTATCAAACGATCCTTTCACAGGGGTCACCTAAGACTATCAAAATATCCTTTCACAGGGGTCACCTAAGACTATCAAAAAATCCTTTCACAGGGGTCACCTAAGACTATCAAAAAATCCTTTCACAGGGGTCACCTAAGACTATCAAAAAATCCTTTCACAGGGGTCACCTAAGACTATCAAAAAAACATATTCATTGAAGATATGAAGGAAAATAATTGTTTGGGGGTCGCCACAACATGAGAGAACTGTATTAAAGGGTCACGGCAGTAGGAAGGTTGAGAGCCACTGATCTAAAGGGAAAACTAATGGGAAGACAAAGGTGCTGGACCGGAATCCATCTTTGATATCAAAGTGATTTCACAGGATACAATGGAATGCAGAAAAAGGTTGCTAGCCCTGTCTGACATGTAATGGCAATAGGATAATAGAGGAGAGACCTTCTCAGAACAGAAAGAGTTAAAGTAACACCTGCTCAGCAGAGAATAAAAATACATTTCTCTTCCTTTATGGACAAGAGACAAACCTTGATCTCCTTTCCGTCCAGCTCCTTTCCTGATAATGTACTAACTGCTTCCTTTGCAGAATCAACACTCTGAAAGTGGATAAATGCAAACCCACGCGCACCGCGCCACACCAGGCGCAGGGGGTTTACGTGTAAGGCACGAAGTTCTGTCTTCAGCTCACTCACACGCAGGCGACGTGACAGTCCTCCCACCCAGACCACAGCATCAGGATTTGTGCGAAACCTCTGCCGCTGTGGTCTGCGGTCTGAGTTTTCATGTGAACAAAACAAAAAACATGTTTCAGCATTATCTCAGTGGTGAGTAAGGTAAATTCAAATCCATCACAGTTAAGGTAGGTAGATGGTAGCAGTTTCATAGGTGAAAAAAAGGTAGACCCCACCGTATCATTGGTGAAAAAAAGTTAAAAGTCGAGAGGATCGACTTCATAGCACCCGGTTTTATCCCATATGACCTAATCTCTTTCCGCAGAATGGCTAACCGCCTGCTGAGGGTGCTGCACAAAGCAGGAGTTACGTAGCTCTAGCGACGATCCCCAGGGATCTCCATCAAAATTGCACTTGTGAACTGAACAGTGCAGTCGTGAAATGAACCCACGACCTTCAGAGCATGAGACAAACAACCTGACTACTTCGCCATGGAGACTCCCCACAGTAGTGGAAGTTTGTAGGTGAAGATAGGTTGATCCAGCAGTACCACTAAGGAAAGGTAAACAGGTAGACACAGCAGTGTTACAGGTGAGGAAAGATAGATTCCACAGTGTTACAGGTAAAGAAATTGATCAAAGTGTCAAAGGTAAGGAACTGCACACTTAACATGTCAACGTGGAGGAAAGTAGACTTGTTTTCTGCCTTTCTAACCCCCAGTGGAGCATAGGCCCTCAACCAACTCACGACAAGTTATTCTGTCCTTCACAATCACTTGCAGCTCTTTCCATCTCCTCCCCAACTTTTTAACATCACTCGTTAACTCCCTTCTCCACGAGTTTCTGGTCTCCCTTTATTTCTATGCCCATGTGGGTTCCGTCGAGGTCTCTGGCTTGGGCGTTGTGAACGAGCTTCGTAGCACTGGGGTGCCGTCTTCGATCCCAGCTGCGGGCCTTGCGCTGTTTCAACAGTGGTATCGAGAAGCTGACCGTCCATAAAGCAGTGGCAAGCTACTGGAGGTAGATTTGCCTAGAAAAACCACAAAAGCCCAAAAATGCCGAGGTTGGTTCTGCAATGTCCTGTAAAGGAAATGCAACTGTGGGTTCCAGTGCAAAGAAATTCTAATTAAATTATTACCTGCACAAATTCCCTAGTGCAATGAAAGCTCCTCTTGCCTTTGGTATGTGTATTTTAAAATCTCTATCAGTTCCCCCATCTTCATCTACATTACAGAGTAGACTAATAGTACCTTGCGAGGATAATTCAAATCTTAAAATGAAAAAGGTGAAGTAAAGTACAAACCGAAACAAGTGTTGAAATCAGATGTATCTGATCACACGCCAAATGGGGAAATGGAACAAAACTGACTTTTTGATGATGATGATGAAACAGATAAGAGCATTAACAATTTCCTGAACTTACTTTCTAATTCTTCTTCACCAGATGTTCTTTGTTCACCATCACTGCCTGAATGATCTCCCCTGTTGTCCCGCCGACTGCCACCATCATAACGCCATCTACGCTGAAAACGGCGAGGGTTCGGGAACCTGAGTACAAACAAATAACGCAATTGAACAACTGCTTCTTTCCCAAAAGCCGAAAACATATACGACATGGAACAGTCCAATATTTTCTATTTATCAGGTTATCTCAGTGTGTGTTCTTAGCAACACTTCTTTTCACCTCTCGACTCATAGGAATTTTGAAATAATGGGTTCATTTGAGTTTTAACCCCCATCTCGTCAGCTGTGACATTTGGTAGGGAATTTCTACAGAGTTCCCTAGAAGGTCCAACTGTATGTGTGTGTGTGTGTGTGTGTGTGTTTGCGTGCACATGTGTTTAAAAAAAAAAAAAAGGGGGGGGGGGGGGGGGGTTAGTTTCTCTTTTTTGTTGTTGTTCAAACCTAAATAGATTGTCTACATCTGCAATGTCATCTCTAGTATGAACTTCACTGTATTCTGTAATTCAACTTAACAACCCTTGAAGTTCAGCCTGAACTGGTGTTTCTCTTGGGCAGATCTTGAACAATGCGATGTGAATTGGGGACATTCTGGACCCTGAAAAAAGCCACCTTGGTGTGTCGTGTCAGCAGGGGAGGCTCTCAAAAAAAGAGAGACAATTTCCATGTATGCATACTAAACAGGGTTAGATGCAGGAATGCTGACAGGTCAAGGAAATTCACGAAGAAGGTGTGAGAATGATTAAGTAAGAACACTGCTTGCAAACAGGACACATTAATGAAGACTGATGAATGGTAGTAGCACACACTAGAAATGATAGTGCTCTAAATAATGAACACACTGAAAACAACAAACCCATGACATAATTAGAACATGGCAGTTTTAGTGTTGTAGGGTTACATCGACTAACTACCCTTTACTATAGGACTTTCTGTGGAACTTCCTAGGAATTCCCTAAGAAATTACGCAACCGAATGAGACAGGGTGATTAAACATGAGTTGTACCCAGATATCAAGACAGTACTTAGACTAGAATGACCTATCTTCAACCTAAGGCAGCAAACACCTTTTGCGTATTACATAATAAAGTTCTGAAAGCACAACAGTGCCTCATCCAAAGTAGCTACCTTATTTTCCAGTGTATAAGGCATCGATTCTGTGTATCATCGAAGTATCTGACATAGGGATTTGCTGAACTGCCTGTGCCACGCTTGTGTTTATTTTATCACCAACTGCTATTTTGTCCAGAATTGCTAGTATGCATTCTTTCACAGTTTCTGACTCAGTGAAGGGCCACTTTTGGCTAATATCCACGAAATATACAAAGAAGCCGCTGTAGCTTTTTAGTGTTGAGTACAAGCTCGCACAAGAATTCTGCTGCTATGCTGATAAGCAGCAATCCCCATGTACAAGACGGCCCCTATTTTTTTTAAAGTCTAAAATTAAGAAATATATTAAGCACATTCAGCATATGAGACAACCCCTCAATTTTAAATGTACAAACATTTGGGAAGAAAGTATCTTATTATGGAAAAAATTTGGTACATTTATGGATTGTGCCGAGACTAATGGTTTGTTCACCAGTTTTCGAATGGGACAGTGAGGAGAATTTCATCTGATTTTCAAGCAAGTATGGGGTGACCTGACTGACTGCAGTAAAGCTGAAACCTAAGAAAACTAAGATGGTATTAAACAAATTTTTTTTTTAAAGTATCGCTAGCCTGACACAGACATACCTGCGAGGATACGGCCTCTCTTCACCATCCCCTTGCTGCTCCTCACCACCACCATCGCTGTGCTCCGACTCGGAAGCCTTGGGTTTGCCACCACGGCGAAAATGGCGGTTGCGGTAATTTCTGAGCCTGCCACGGCCATCATCACCATCCGCCCCGGATTCATCTCCAGTTTCCCCATTCTCCTTATTGCTGTCATCCCCAGCATCTGTCCTGTGTCTCCAACCACCTTTCCTAAACCTTAGAATGAGAAAAAGAAATATTTCTTCAAAACAAAATAACTTTATTTCAATGCACAGTTTACATTTGCTTTAGATAATTTCCACTTTATATCTGTCTTACGAAGATCAAGCCATGGTGATGGCTTGATATAACAGTGCGATTACAGGTAAAGACAGCAGACAGCTCCGCGTTGTAAGCACCACACCATTCTTTCTTCTTCTTCTTTGCGTTCACCAGCTGTAAACTCCGGCAAAGGTTCTGATTGTTTGTCCACTTAAGGACTCTAGGTCTTTTTTTATAAATTTAGAGTTGTGTTCAGAAAGCTGAGCATATAACCCATGCAACAGCCAATAAATGCTGGGAGTGGTTAGCGACATCCACAACAGGACACGCAATTAAGTCTTTTTAACATGCAAAAACATTGCAGGTTCAATCCACAACACTGGCAGCATTACTTTTTTCCATACAGGTTTTGGTTCAAGAGGTCAATCTAGTATTACGTTTTCCAAGCAGTATGGTTCAGGGGGTAAATCTAGTACTACGTTTTCCAGGCAGTATATTTCAAGGGGTCAGTCTAGTATTACGTTTTACAAGCAGTGTGGTTCAAGGGGTCAATCTAGTATTACGTTTTCTAAGCAGTATTGTTCAAGGGGTCAATCTAGTATTACGTTTTCGGAGCAGTATGGTTCAAGGGGTCAATCTAGTATTACGTTTTCCAAGCAGTATGGTTCAAGGGGTTAATCTAGTATTACGTTTTCCAAGCAGTATGGTTCAAGGGGTTAATCTAGTATTACGTTTTCCAAGCAGTATGGTTCAAGAGGTTAATCTAGTATTACATTTTCCAAGAAGTATGGTTCAAGGGGTCAATCTAGTATTACATTTTCCAAGCAGTATGGTTCAATGGGTAAATCTAGTATTAAATTTTCCAAGCAGTATGGTTCAGGGGTCAATCTAGTATTACGTTTTTTCAAGCAGTATGGTTCAAGGGGTCAATCTAGTATTACGTTTTCCAAGCAGTATGGTTCAGGGGTCAATCTAGTATTAAATATTCTTTCAAGAAATATGGTTCAAGGGGTCAATCTAGTATTACGTTTTCCGAGCAGTATGGTTCAAGGGGTCAATCTAGTATTACATTTTCCAAGCAGTATGGTTCAAGGGGTCAATCTAGTATTAAGTTTTCCAAGCAGTATGGTTCAAGTCAATCTAGTATTACGTTTTCCAAGCAGTATGGTTAAGGGGTCAATCTAGTATTACGTTTTCCAAGCAGTATGGTTCAGAGGTCAATCTAGTATTACGTTTTCCAAGCAGTATGGTTCAAGAGGTCAATCTAATATTACGTTTTTCAAGCAGTATGGTTCAGGGGTCAATCTAGTATTATGTTTTCCAAGCAGTATGGTTCAGAGGTCAATCTAGTATTACGTTTTCCAAGCAGTATGGTTCAAGGGGTCAATCTAGTATTACGTTTTCCAAGCAGTATGGTTCAGGGGTCAATCTAGTATTACATTTTCTAAGCAGCATAATTCAGGGGTCAAGCTAGTCTAACTTCAGTACCAGAGGACAGTTAAATTAGTTATGAATCAACACATGATGGGTTCCTTGAAATTAATCATTAATGCATCACTTTCAAAGCCGCAATACATGCAATGGTAATTATTAATTGGAAAGCTAGATTTTTTTTAATATCTTCAGACTAAATGTTGTAAGTACGAGAACACTGTATGCAATGGAGGAAAATCTAGGGATAGAGTAAACACACTAGGCGTTGCCTGGGACAGAGAGTTCTGTTCTACAATACATTACTGCATTAGCTGTGTATGAGAATAAAGATTAAAGTCAAGATCGCCAAGTCTCTTACCAACCTAAATGGTCTTCCACGTCCTCTGTATCCACCTCGGAAGGGTCTGTACCTACGGGGTCGAAATTTCCCAGCATTCTCCAGTGGATCCTCGTCTTCATTCTGCTGCCCTTTCAGCCGCACATCCTTGCCAGCTGCGTGCTCAAGGTCTCGCAACTGTTTCAGAACCGGAATCTGCGGGGAACAGTTTTGAAGATACATCATCAGATTACCCTCTATTCCAGTGGTTCTCAAGCAGATAGGCAGCCTAGACTTTTCTTATTTCTGAAGGCTTGCTACAGATCCTACACTTTTTAAAGTCAAATTTGAAGAAAAAAAATGTTTTTAAACATTTAAATAAATTTAAAAAAAAAAAAATAAAAAAAATTAATTAGTATCTCAACAAAACCTCACCCAAAAAAAGGGGAGTGGGGCAAGGTTAGTGCTTGTGTGAATGTGTGTGTAAATACTATCACAGACTACTTAAATTTGTTCCACAGACCTCCTTCCTGCCAACTGGCAACTTCTGCTCTATGCTATAATCACGGCCGACAAAATCCGAGAAAGAGGAGGGAGGAATCACCATACAAAACCACACTCAACATTTCCAGATATCTCACAGATACTGACACTTGTAATACATCACTCAGTAGAAACCCAGTGACAGATTCAATCCCCATTCACAAGCCTCCCTCAGACCCATGAGTGCTTACCTGATAGAATTTATTCACTTCTAGGAGGCTCCAGATGATACCTTCAGGTTTGGGTCGGGTGCACCTTGTCTCGATGATCTCAGTGGGTGTTAGTATCAAGTCCACAGTCATGTCATGCTCCTCAACCTCAAGTATCGAAAGAAAATGGCAAGGTAATAAACACGGTGAACCAAAAAGTCACAACAAAATAATCAGAATGTTAACCTTTTATTTTTTTTTTATACGAGCATGGAACAAACATGGTCTTATTATATTCGATTAAACTTGACAAATATTTCTTGTAATTATTTTTAAAAATTTAAATAGCACCTAATAAAGTTATATCAAGTACAGGTGAAGCACTTCGAGGCATTACTGATGTCAATGAGACACTGCCTAAAAATTTCCGCTAAATAAAGGTGTCGCTGCAACGCTTCACAATATTACATTCTTATTTTCAGCTTTCACTGGCTGTAAACTCCAGCGGAAAATTCTGGTTAGTCGTCCCCTTTCTGGCTTTTAGTTTTGATCCAGACCTTGACTGCTGAGTGCAAATCCGTTTTACAGATCTGGCTTATTTTAATGCAGATTTCCTTGTCTCTCAGACAAAAGCATTCTGACTTAGAAAGAAACAACCCTAATTATAACCGCCTATGACATGCTTGTTAAGAGACAGTGGGTCTACCATTTGTTGTCCAAAATGAAGCCTTGGAGCCCACACAGTTGTTTTATTTTCAGAACAAGGCAAACTCACCAACTCTTCAGGAATATCGACAACTTGTGAGTCATGAACTGTGGTGACTACAAGAGTGTCAGCATCTATGGCCCCCATGCTCCGCATCATGGCATACTCCAGGTCAGCATATCCCTTTCCTTTGCCTATGCGATAGCCTGGACACGGATGACAACAAATAAGTTTTATTGCATTAAAGTGTATATAATAAACAAACAAATATACTGGAGGGCACTCGCAGAAAGAGGTGGAAAGACAGGAGGACACACTAGACAACATAAATATAGAAAGCTTTCGTGTCTATGTTGGAAATCGAAGATGTCACCTTCGGACAGAATTCATCTCAAAACATTGAAACTGTAACCAAAGGCTACATAATTTTATATTAACGAAGCACAGGTAGAATAAAAACACAACTAAAATTACAAACACATCGGACCATAAAGCTATGTCTATAAAACAACGAACATTTAAAGAGGATATCTAACTGATCAGTACTATTGCACTGCATGTAATACACTAAGTAAACAATAGAGAACCCTTGATAATACCTCTATGGCCTCAAGATTCCCCATCTGGTTATTTCAGTTTACTCTGATAAGTAATTAGAAACACAATGAGAAAATTCACTAGTAAAGTAAGACAAAAAAGTTGACACCAAATGAAAGAACAGGAGACAGTGATATTAGAAAACCCACAGTAACATTACCTTATACAGAAAACAGTCACATTCTCCACATGTGGGTTTCAGGGACCTATCAAAGGGAAAACAAGAATAGACCCCCTGCCTACCAAAAAGCATGTCATAAGAGTCGACTAATTGGGAGCTTCCTTCAAAGTCGGAGTGCATCTGCCCGAGAGGCAAGAAACCAACAGTCTGCATACAAATTAGATCTGTCAAACGGATGCACACGCAACACTCAAGTTCTGGAACAGGACTTAGTCCAGAAGTGGTTAAGCACCAGAACTTTCCACCAGAGTTTACAGCTGGTGAATGCGAAGAAGACGAAGAAGGAGAAGAAGAAGAAGAAAGAAGAAGAAACAGTCAAATTCCTGCATATTGCGGACAGTATATCCATGCGAGACCCTGTTTTGTTGACATGCTGATGCTTTTATGTGGCTGACATCTCACACCACCCCAAGGCCATCATAATTTCCCAGTTTCATCACAATCACGTATTAGGACCTTTTACAATGTCACTAATCTGATATGCATGTGAGAGGGCATTGCTTTTAATTTAAAACTACAAAAATTGTTGAAGGCAAATACTGCCCGACTCTCAGTCTAAGCTTTGTTAATCTGAATCGAGACTGACTTTACAAAAATTTATTATTAAAGTTACCTAATCTCCCAGCCTGACCCGGCCAGAAATTCCTGGGAAGACAAGGCTGCTGGCCTGATGTTAACCACATCAACCACTGAGTGCTGATTGGTCTATAAAATATAGTTCTAGCCCTATATGCCCAATAAACCTGAAGGTATGGAAAAGGTTCTTTACTAAGTTTTGTTCAGTTCATTACAGATGACTACAGCTTGAGCGACTGCCACATACAGAGCCTTCAGGATATGTGGATTTATTGTCCTGGTCCTTTCGGGGTGGACAGAAATGAGAAGGTGACATGCTGGCTCAGGATCACCTATCCAGGAAGGCTAACCTGGTCAACAAATGCCTGCAGAAGTCAGATGTGTTGGCTGAAAGGTGAAAATATCGGGGCTATGCTGTAAACGGGCACAACACAATTACATCTTCAGATGAACGAAGAAGAAGAAGAAGATCTGGTAATCTGGTAATTCTAGTTTCAGCTTCATAGCAAACAGGTCACCCCATAGTTGCTCCGCTCCTGTGCCAGAAGAAAAAGAAGGAGCACCTATGACTGAAACAACTGAAGATGGACAGATAGGATGTACTGCAGGCGATAAATGACAGTTTGGTGAATGGTGGCATCACAGAATGAATTTTCTCACACACAGTTGTGGGAATGTGGACTGGAGGACAGAACTGGTGGCAAATGAATGCAGGCATGGATGACTCTGACATGTAGCTAAACAGTTCACAGCAGCGACAATTTGACTCTATACCTGGAAGAGATTTACCACTGGGAGCATTGTCCAGAAAGTAGTAAAATTAATTCTTCACTAAGGTTGTTTAAAAAAAAAAAAAAATATTTGTAATATTGTTGTTCATTTGTGTCACATGCTCAAGGGATTGTGTGCAATTCTGTTTGTAACTGCATCACTGTCCATTCGTATCATATGCAGATGAAGGCTTTCTGGAAACAAGGTTCATTAATTTTTCTTAATTGCGATGATGTAAAGCTAACTTTTCTTCTAATCATGTGGTTTTAATATCTTTCATGATTAGAACATACAGAAAAATACAATGAAGCCTACCCTGTCTAGAAACAGCAACACTGCCCACAACAACCAAGTCAATCTTTACTTTGTCCTCCAGGCCAATCTCCTTGCTGTGTTCCTTCACGCCCTGAAAGTAGCAACTCAAGAGTCATTTACTGATAAACACAAAACCCCACTAAACCTCATCTTCTACATCTCTCCCGCCTCCGCTCATCTCTCTGGTTGGCCTTCTCCCTTCAGTTGGTGACAACAAGTATTAGTAGGTAAGTCTGTGTGGATATTATCTCTCCATCATCTTCTCCCATGGTTTCAACTGCAAGCCAACCCTCTTCCAGCTCAATGGATGCATTTGTTCTTTTCTTTACCCAGATAAATAAACCAGAATATATCTTCAAACAGTAAGGACCATTTTCCATGCCCCCAAGTGTACAGGGTACGAATGTAAAGCTGGAACTACATTTTACTAATCAACCGGCACCCAGTGTGGAATGTGAGCAATATCATACCGGCCACCTTCGCTTTCCAGAACTTTACCTGGTACTCATTTTGGGTTGGGTAGACCTGTGGGATAGCCTTTTTTTTTAAAAAATCCGGATTGATGCAGATTTGAACCCATAACCTTCAGGCCTATAGGTGAGTGTCTCGCCACTCGATCATGGATCTCTCACTCTTTGAGCACAAATCTGCCTGAATGTGTTTCACGCAATCATTTTACTTTGTAGTTTCAAAAGAATACTGGAGTTAAAAATCAGCCAGTTCCAATGCAAATTATCTAACCAATGTCTTCTCCGTGAATGAATGGTTATCATCACCTGTTCAGATTAACCATTTCATCCCAGGAGTTACAATTTTGAGGAGAAAAAAGAATAAATGAGTGGCGGACCTGACAATATCTAAAGTCCACGACGATCGTATCATGGGTACCAAACAATCTATGTGAAAAAAAATTGCAATTTTACATTACAAAATTATTTTACACTCTAACACAAAAACAAATGAAATAAAATAGGATTAACAAACTTGAGATGTTTCATCAAGCACCACGATGACTGTAAAAATTAACAGCAGAAGGCAGGGTACCAGGAAAGATGGGCAGGGGCCAACCAGCACAAAGTTAGGCACAGAATATAAGAGAAATTTTGGGTATTAGAACTGCATGAGGTGAGAGAGCTGGCGAGAGATTGAGTTACTTTTAGGCAGGCCGTGATGACAGCAACGTTCTGAAAAGGTTCTGGTACATGATGACAATGAGTACGTTCTAGGCCACAGAATACTTCAATTAGACATGAGTGGCCCTGTTTCCCTCCTCACTGCCTTTCTTTCCCAAAAAATTGAAAATGATCCGGGCTTTATATCATGAGGCTTGAGGGTTTTGTAATACCTACAATACTATCTATATATGCGAGTACACTCACCACTACTCCATACACCAAGAAATAAACACCAGCATTTAAAATCTATGAGCAAAATCTTAACCAAACATAATTTTTTTTCAACGAAACACTGATCCCCATGAATGTCTAATCAATTCAACTGTCTCAGTAGCCTTGCAAACGTAACTCTAGCTAGATGAAAACAAAAATGAGTTACTTATCTGCTGAACAGGTGGCAGCACAGCTGCCTGTGTCTTCCTTGATAACAGTGTGTAGGAAAAACTTCATAACAAATAGCAAAATGAATAATGTTACAGCCTAGATCAGCACTACCTGAGATGTGCAGCAGTATCTCAGTTTCTCTTTGTTAGCATCCTCTGGTGGAATCACTCGGTTCAGCAGTCCGGTTCGAAGCTGAGGGGTAGGCACTAGTAGATTTTTGTGACTCTAGAAGGCAAGAGCACAGGAAACACCAATTGTGGGAGATGACAAAATAAGCACTTATATGATAAAACAAGGAACTGCTGTGGTGTGGCAATTAGGCATTCGCCTGCAGATCCATGTCATGGGTTCAGTGTGAATCAATGTGAATTACCTTGGTTTTCTGGTCGACCTAGCCTTAAATAGGTACCAGGCAAAGTCTTAGGAAGTAAAGGCAGGCAGGTTAATGTTGAATACATCACTCAATGGGTGCCAACTGCTTTTTGAAATATGGATCTAGCACTATATGCCTAATATGCCAGAAGGTGTGGAAGGGGTCTTTTACAAATAAAACCAAATGTTGCTCATCATTTGATCATGGAATGAAATACAATATTTAAACTGCTTGGCGCAAAGAGAGAGAGAGAGAGAGAGAGAGAGAGAGAGAGAGAGAGAGAGAGAGAGAGAGAGAGAGAGAGAGAGAGAGAGAGAGAGAGAGAGAGACAGACAGACAGACAGAGAGAGGGAGGGGGGGAACATACAATACAGTCAACAGATAACTTCTGCCTGCATCTAAGAACTCTTGCACAACTACTTCTTTGGATTCACCTGCGGGCAGAACCAGGAGTAGTACCCAAAAGTAACACTGATCTCATCTGAGTTGAGCTGATTCAAGAACCGACATCACAGCACTCGAATCATTCCCATAAGTACTCCGTCCCCATCTTCAGCAGCCAGTGAAGAGTTCAGTTACTAATGGTGCCAGTAGCATTCTGAATTAATGTCCATCTTACCTTTCCTCTGAGCCTCAAGCATCTGCCAGAACCTTTGTTTGGCAGCATGTGTGGTTCAACATGTGTGGTCAACATGTGTGGCAGCATGTGTGGTTCAACATGTGTGGTTCATCATGTGTGGTTCAACATGTGTGGTTCAGCATGTGTGGTTCAACATGTGTGGTTCAGCATTAGTGGTTCAGCATGTGTGGTTCAGCATGTGTGGTTCAACATGTGTGGTTAAGCATGTGTGGTTCAACATGTGTGGTTCAGCATGTGTGGTTCAGCATGTGTGGTTCAACATGTGTGGTTCAGCATGTGTGGTTCAACATGTGTGGTGCAGCATGTGTGGTTCAACATGTGTGGTTCAACATGTGTGGCAGCATGTGTGGTTCAACATGTGTGGTTCAACATGTGTGGTTCAACATGTGTGGTTCAACATGTGTGGTTCAGCATGTGTGGTTCAACATGTGTGGTTCAGCATTAGTGGTTCAACATGTGTGGTTCAGCATGTGTGGTTCAACATGTGTGGTTCAGCATGTGTGGTTCAACATGTGTGGCAGCATGTGTGGTTCAACATGTGTGGTTCAGCATGTGTGGTTCAGCATGTGTGGTTCAACATGTGTGGTTCAGCATTAGTGGTTCAACATGTGTGGTTCAGCATGTGTGGTTCAACATGTGTGGCAGCACATGTGGTTCAGCACGTGTGGTTCAGCATGAATGCATCTGCAATTCTTGTACAAGGTAGAAATAACCTTACAAGACATTATAAGAACAACCTCATCCAGGAGCTCTGTTCGGCAGGAAGAAAAATAATCCATGACGAGTGACTGAACCTGGAAATATCTAGGGTCCAACACCGCAACCACACACACACTAATTGGATTGATTAAAAAAAAGACGTCCAAGAGGAGTCTTAAGATGAATGATATTAAGAGAGAGGTTTCTTCTTCTTATAATTAGTGTTCACTGGCTGTAAACTCCGGTGGAAAATTCTGGTTGTCTGTCCACTCCTGAACTTTGGTCTTCATCTAGAACTTGTGTTTGCATGCACATACTTTTTATAAATGTGCCTTATTTATATGCAGACTGTTGGTTCCTTGCCTCTCAGACAGATGCCCTCTAATTAGTTGCCTCCTATGACAGGCTTGTTGGGGAGGAAAAAGGGGGTGGGGAAGAATAATGGGTCCTTTCTTTGTTCTCCACCATGCAGCCCAGGAACCCACACAGGGAAACACTAAACGTGTTGAACTAGATTTCATCAAAGACAATGACAGAATTACATAAAACAGACTGGAATGGGGGAACTAGACTAAGTCCTTTGTGACGGTCAATGGTACAAAATGATGATGATGATGACTACCACATCATGGTCACAAAAGCCAAAACTATGTGGACAAACGGAAATTTTACACAAAACTATTTAGCAACTACAATCCTCCCCTTACCTCTAGAACAAGAAACCTGGCCTGCTCCTGTGGCTTGTCAGGACTGACTTTTACTGTCCTTGCCTGTTTGAACACATCTAGTGTGACCAGTCTGTCATTAGCTGCTGCGGCACCCTATTAAATGTCAACAATAGTATGCACCATGACAGTAGCAAACATATTCTTTAGGTATAAAATCAATACACTAACCTATGACTGAAAAGCTCCAATGAAATAAAAATGAAAAATAAAAAGAAAGGGGGAGGTAATACATCTACACGAACAATAATTTTTTCCAGAGACTTTATCAAGAAGCAATACAACAAGAAGTAGTGTAGACACTATCCCCTTTAAAGGGAAGTCACATGAATAACAATACTAACTAGACCAGAATATAAAATATAGCAACAGGAAGAGATGTTGCAAAACAAAAGTATAAGAACATGAAAAAATAATACTAAGGGGGGGGGGGGGGGGGGTCCAGTAGGGATCCAGTGATCCCTAACAAACATGTAAATTAATTTCCTTCAAAGTCAGAGTGCATGTGCCTGACAGACGAGGAACCAACAGTCTACTTACAAATAAGCCAGATCTGTAAAACGGAAGTATATGCAAAACTCCAGTTCTGTAACAAGACTCCATTGGAGTTTACAGCCAGTGAAAGCAAAGAAGAAAACAGAGTAAGCCCTTGAAACCAAGACTTTGTTGACACTCACCTCAAAATTTGGTATGCGATAATGGCAAGGTCTGGGTGTGTTGACTAAATTGTTATCCTCCAGATAATTCCAGATCTTGCGTCGAATTGCCCACTTTCCAGTTTCTAGAATAAAGAAAAAATAACATACAAGTTCCTCACCTTTCTACTACCTGGCAAAGGGTTTCCCTATCAGGAAAAAATGAAGTGAGTTGCTTTCCCACCTGCTGGCCCGAAAGTCTTAGGTTCTTATCTGCATCCAGTCAGATTTATTGACATTAGCTTCCAGCTCGACTCAGCCTAAACCAGGTACCAGGTAATGTCCTGGGCTGGTAAAGCTATTATGGATGCCATAACTTCTCTGGAGGTTACACAAGGTTTTGGGATCTGCTTTGTTGGTCTGCCTTCCAGTTGAGGATTTTAAAAAAAAATTCCAGAATGGAATGGGAAATTTCAGATAGTAGCCAGGATGCGACAAGCAGACTGGACTACTTATGCACCAGTGGCGTAAATATTTTATGTTTTACATTTGTTGGGGTCTTTGTCTGTCCCCAGTTTACACAAACCGCACTCTCTGTTTGATCCCTATCTAAATGAGCTGTGATTTTAAGCAAGTCAGCGATATCTGCACCAATCGCCTAACACATCTGATTTCAGCAAACTCATAATTTTCTTGGATGACATGATTGCTGAGGAAGGGAAGGGGGGGGGGGGGTGTCAACACCAACCCCCCCCCCCCCCCCCCCCCATGAAGCCTCCTCAGAACACATAGGGGTCAAAACCCCCCCCCCCCACCTTCCCATGAAGCCGCCTCAGAACACATATAGGAGAGACAGTAATCTAGTCTAGCTAAACATAAACTACATTATTTTTATCCTCACAAGGAACATACCATCTTCCGGGCGAATTTCACGACGATAAGGACGTCTCTGCTGGCGACTGTCTTGTTCCTTGACAGGGGAGTCACTGTCTGCTGTTGGTTTCACATTCTCGATCTTTGCCTCTTCATCTAGACTTTGTATTGCTATAGCATTATTGTTTTTCATTGTTCTCCCAAGCCTCAGGCAGTCTCCACTAACTGGAGATATTTCTGGGCCTTTAAATCTGGATTTCTGAATTTAAAATTAAAAAAAAAAAGTAAAAAAAAAAAAAAAATACTTTTAAAATCATAGCAGCATAGGTCTTTTTCTACAGTGTTCGCTCTTAAAAGGGCGACTGGCATGTTGTGTTGTGGTTTATAGCTATGCTGCAATATTTGATTTTTTCGGCCTAACTTATCCGATTTAAGCAAACTCCTCATTACCTTTTCTGAGATGCTTATTAAGGGTGCAATGGGTCTACCCCCCCCCCGGTCTCTGGAACTCTGGAACCCACACAGAGTAGCAGGTCATCAATTCCAATCACTGGTGATAACTAAACATCACAAAGTACTCGTACCAATGGCAGTTACATTTTTGCCCATATTTACCAGGTCTCCTTAATCATTCTTTTTAGCAGGGTTGTAATTTTGGGCTCTCCTTTAAATAACGATTGCTAGCTGGAAAGCCGACAGTCGCTTAGTCAGAGTTCACTCCCTTGGCTGCAGTGCAAATATGGAGTGGTAAAGAGGGAACGAAACAAATGATATAGTTACCTGTCATCCTAGGGTTAGGCTTAGGGCTTGGGTTAGGATTTGGAGTAGGGTTAGGGTTTGGGTTAGGGTCAGGGGTAGGGTTAGGGTTTGGGTTACGGTTAGGGTTAGGGGTAGGGTTAGGGCTTGGGTTAGGGGTAGGGTTAGGGTTAGGGTTTGGGGTAGGGTTAGGGGTAGGGTGACACATCACGTACACGACGGAAGCTTATCGCTCATTATGACACACAGATCCGCAGGTCTCACATCTATGGTCACTACGTCGTGCGTCGGAAGAACGCGGTCGCTAATGTGAGTCGCAGCACGTGGTCTACTAGAGTCTTGCGTCGCAAGACAGCAGTCGCTACTATCAGTCGCAGCGCGTGGTCTAGCTCTAGCAGGCATGTCGACCTCACTTTCGTTTTTGATTCGTGACTTGTCCGCTCCGTATTTGCACTGCAGCCAAGGGAGTGAACTCCGACTAAGCGACAGTTGGCTTTCCAGCTAACGACCGTTATTTAAAGGAGAGCCTAATTTTGTGGTCAGAATGATGGAGTTACAATATGGCTACTGCTTAGACTACAGCTCAAAACTACTTAGTTTAGGGAGCAAGACAAAAGCATTCATTAGATATCTATGTACAATTTAACTAATACTGTATTATTTTCTAATAACTAAGTGCCCCCCCCCCCCCCCCCTTTCCCCAAATACAAATTTAAAATAAACAGCAAAAGTTACCAAACCACAGGCAATTACATGACAATATCATGTTAGGTGGACAGTTGGATTTCAATACTACATAAAAAAACATGACCACAAAATGACGTATATATGTGATAAGTTGTCTTAGCTATCCTCCGAATAATGGCCACATATTATTGCGGCCAAAAACACACCCTGGCAGGGCCTCAATTACATGTAAATTGCCGACTTCCTCCGACAAACACATCGGTGCAAAACTAGAATTACTGTCCATTGACAATTTTGAGAAACGCAACAACACACACGATAGTAGCGACATGGCGGGGAGACCAAAGGCTCCGACGCAGGTTAACCATAGTGTTCTTCCGATTAAACTCACCGCCGAGCGCATCCCCGCGCTGCTACGCACGGCGAGGGTAGGGGTCTAAACTAGATGGCTGGGACTCTTGAGCAGCAGCTACCGGATCTCCTGCAACTTCCTCCAATTTATTTGCTCGTGAGTCCCAGCCATCTAGTTTACCCCCCTATCCGCGAAGCTGCGCAGGAGATACTCTCGGCAGTGAAAACTGCGTTACCAATGAAGCACCGATCATATTTAGCCGCGTTTCAATGGCGCCACAGCCACAAAGAGCAGATTTTCAGGCAATGTTTGCAACTTCTGTGCCACTATTTTCAGATATAAAGGCCTCAATTATCGCTATGCAGTCGATTTTGTCATTTTCCCTTTTTTTTTTTTCCTCATTATTTTTGAGTTCACGTTTTTGAATGTTTACAAGATCTAATGAGGCCCTGTCAGGGTGTGTTTTTGGCCACCTTATTATGTGGCCATTATTCGGAGGATAGCCGTTGTCTTAGAGCATTGGGCTCTTTCAGAACATCTGGGTATCATATACCACAAGTTATTTCCCGAGCTAATCAACCAAACTGGCGTCTGAGGCTTAGGACGTATGGTTTTCTAGCGCTGTTGGTAATTTCTGTATACTCGGTTCAATTCAGCTACAGATGTTCAAGATTTTGTAGCAGACCCGCCGTTCGACTTGGTTTTGACAATTATATATATATTATTATTATTTGGCTCTCCTTGCAATAACGGTCGTTAGTTGGACGGCGACGGCCGCTTAGTCGGAGTTCAGTCCCCTGGCTGCAGTGCAATTACGGAGTGGAAAAGAGGGAACGACACAAATGACATAATTAGGGGTAGGGTTAGGGTTAGGGTTAGGCTAATGTGAGTCGCAGCGCGTGGTCTAGACGCCATGTTGAACTCACTGTGTTTTGTGATTCGTGCCTTGTCCACTCCATAATTGCACTGAAGCCAGGGGACTGAACTCCGACTAAGCGGCCGTCGCCGTCCAAGTAGCGACCGTTATTGCAAGGAGAACCTATTATTTGAACAGCCTACACTACGGTGCAGACCCGCCGCCTACTGAGCGCAAAATGGCATAATCAAAGCAAAGCAGAGCAGCATATGCTGAGGTAGGTTCCAACGCCTGTTGCAAAGCATTCGTAACTTATTTTGATTTTAAGTTGCTCAAACCATCCAAGACTCAACAAGCGAGCCTACAGTCTACAACCTGACGTAAATGACATGGAGACACGGCGCGTGAATGTCGTGTGTCCGAGTCAGTACTTCAGTACCTAGGCTGTTTTTATTAAATATTACAAAATAAATAAAATGTCACAGAGCAGGTGCAACTATAACTGCACTGTCCATACTTAAGTCTAACTGACTTTGTTAATACTGTATTACAATACTTGCAACAAATGCTTCTATGCGGCTTCAGATGCAACAACCAACGACCACGGGATCTGATTTAATGGTTTTAATATAATGTCGACTGCTGTCCAGTGTTGCCACTTTTCTTTGAAAAAACACATCCAAAACGGAGTCAAAAAAAACTAAAAACATCTAAGTTTGCGTTTGCTAGAAAAAAACAATGGAAAGTGTCACAAAAAACTATCCATATGATGGAAAGTGTCACTACAAATTACGAGAACTGATGATGATGATGATGATTGATATGACTTATCCTATAGAATCACGGACTCATCTTCACTGATGTCAGCCTCACACAATCCACAGGAAAAACTTAGCTTGGATGATGAAGTTAAAGTTTCAGATCCAGAATGACTCTGGTATGCTTTAGCTGTTCCAGTTTTTTTAATACACCATCAGGGAGCTGATAAGTGAAACAGCATTTTCCTAATCTCATCAGCCCGAATTTTATTGTCAAGATTTGATATAATTCAGAGCACTGAAAACTCTTTCTACGTCGACATTTGAGTGGGGTAGTATCAGAACTTTCGGTGGTGTGGAAGCATCATTCAAGGCTGTATATAATGTATTGTATTGCTGTTGTCTGACAAATGATTTGGAAAACCAGTTATGTGTTTCAGCAATGAGGTATTCAAAATTCCTTAGTAAACATTCAGATGACGCATGTGATTATGCTAGCTGCAATGAATGACACATACATTTTATAAGTATTAACGATGGGATAGCTTCCTTCAACTTAGCATAAACACCATTGTTTATACCAACCATCACCGAGACATTATTTGTACCAATTGCAGCCAAATTCTTGAAGTCTATTTGCTGATTAAAAGTTTCTTCAGTTCCTGAACTATACTTTCTGTATTACACTTTTCTAATTGAACTAGTCCAAGATATGTAGAAACTACTTTGTTTGTATTGTTGCTGTAATACATAATACACACACCAAGCACTTTCAGTACCGAAGTAGCATTTCATTCGTCTAGCATTAAATTATAATTATTTGTAGAAATATGACTGATCAAATCTTTTTCGAAGTGAGAAAATAAAGTATTTCTTATAAAATGTGTAAACTTGCTGCGATGAATTTTCACATCATCCATAACTTTACTGTCAAAAATAGCATTTTTAAACAAATCAATCAAATGGTCACAGTTTGAAATTGCACAATGACAACTTACAAATATTGCGACCGATCCTTCAACTTTTGATGATTCATTTATCAGTGTAGTTCTGAAAACACATGTCAGCGGTGTAATATCTTTGAATAGAACTACAGTTTTGTGCTTGTTAGTTTCCGCATGACACTTTTAGTCTTGTATTTTTGCAATAATTTCATATTTGCAAAACTTACAACGAGCTTTGGTCATAACCCCAGGAACTGCCATCACTCAGTCTTTAATTTTGTCATCATGCAACCACTCTTTCTAAAATTGTTGCACATACTTTACTTTTGGCATGTCAAAAAGTTTTTTCAAAGTGAAAGCCACATATGAAGGTGAGCAATCATTTTTTTAAATCACACAAAAAAGAAACACAAAGTCCGCACAGTGAGGATACGGTTGAAACAAAGTTAGTATGATTTACGCGCGCTTTTTTAATCAGTACCCGGGCTGTCAGATATTTGAGCGTTGACCCCAGTGAGTTCAAAGTTTAAGTATTCGCAATTGTCACAATGTACTTACAAAAATATTGTGGCAACTATTTTACACAGTAAATATTAAAATGACACTGAAAAAAAAAAATCTTTAAAATATCTTACTCCAAATGAAAAACATAGAAAATCATCTACCATCTAAACGTCAAAAACACCATCTAAATGCAAGGAAAAACATCTAAATCTGAATGTAAAACATCCAAAGTGGCAACACTGCTGCTGCCCGCTGCCGGCCAGAAATTTGACAAGGAAACTTTGCGAAACGAAACACTAACCTAAGTTTTTTCCAGAAAATAGGGCGGGGTATAAT